TAGTTGAGGGTCTGTATCCAGCGCCTCGTTCCCTCTTCTCCTGAGATTTATTATCTTATTGTCAACTGCTTCCAACAGTTAATTTGATATTGTGTTATAGACAAATGTTCAATGGAAAGGTGCATTGCTTAGATCCTAGAGAACCTGTCACCAGGGAACAAAACAGGCACACCAGTCAGAAAAACACAACCCATTTTTTCTAGTAGTTTCAGGGTCCACTGCCCCCTCCCATTTACAAAAGACATTTTTTTTTTTTTTTTTTTTTTTTTTTTTTTTTTTTTTTTAACAGGATTACAAAAAATTGAAAAATGAGTGTGTAAAATAAATCATCAGAATAATAATAATAAATAAGGCAAGAAGTGAACACTGTTCAGAAGCTTTGTTTAAAACACCTGACACACACCACAGCAAATTAACCGCCGGGATTTACCACCAATAGCAGCCAGGGAGCTGTGATTTGTGGGCAGAGAACTGGATGTACAGCATATGCCCAAAGTAATGTTGAACTTTTTTAGAGCATACACCACTGGCCCAAAATCCTTAAAGGAGAACTATGGGGTTAAGGCTTTTCCCCATAGTTCTCCTTAGGGTAACGGGAGGGCACAAACTAGCGTCCTCCCGTCACCCTAGGCTCAGTATACGGCGAGCTGTAGCTCGCCATATACCACGAGCTGCTGCTCGCTGTATACTGAGACGCCGCAGCTGACGCGGATCCCGACAATTATGCCGGGATCCGCCCAGCTGCGTGACTGACAGCTGGCTCTGCCAATCTAGATGCAGAGCCGGCTGTGCCCGTCCGTTCCGCCAGTCAGCGCTGGCGGATAGGAGTGGGAAATCCACCCCCTCCCCTGTCACGGCAGAGAGCCGTGACAGGATCGAGAGGTGAGCGAACGCCGGTATGTGTTCGCTCACCTCCCGATCTACTGAGCCGACCTGTGACAGAGTCATTGTCACAGGTCGGATGTCGGCTAGAACTATGAGGTGAGTGAAAAGCACTAACCTCATAGTTCTCTTTTAACTAGTTAAAGAAAGATTAAAGCCATGCCCAGGGCCATCCCTATAGTCAGGCAGCCTGAGACTGTTGCCTCATGCGGCATCTCGTGAGGGGAAGTGGCACAATGTAGTAAAGTCACTGGTTGCCAAGAGCTCAGCAGGACGTCATCCCCTCACCGCCCCGCTGCCTTAGGTGACGACAAGCCCCTGGCCATACCACATACAGCACTTAGTATAAACTTTCCCCCTATTTGCCTGAAACTTGCACATAAGTAAAAAGTATACATTAACGTATATAAAGTGTAGAAACCCAGCTATCAAAGTAACTGGTTCATTATTGTGGATTCTTTAGTTGTCCTCCTGAACCTTGGTGACAGGTCCTCTTTCGGATCATAGACATTTCATAACTGAATCCATTCTCCTGTTTTATTTTAACACATTTTGTTTTATTCTTGGTTAATAACATGTTGTATAATGGTCTCAGGTTCCACTCTCATCTTCCAGAACAGGTAAGGCCATCATTATAACAGACCCAGGGCATTCCAAACCCACGGGGAGGCATTTATAAAACTTAAAAAAAAAAAAAAAAAAACATTAAGAAAACTGCAATATTTTGAATACCAGGAAAAATACAAATCTGTGATACTATAAATGTGATGGACAGGAGTCGCCATTTTTTTTTTTTGTGAGTTTTATAAATGTCAGGTTGGCTGCAGCTCCAGCCTATGGGGGTCGTTCTGTCTTGATGACGTCAACGGAATATTAGGAAGATCTGTATACTGATGGTGAAATAATGAATTCACATAGTATTCTCTTGGATGGGCAATCTCCACATTGCTTCACTCTAATTACACTCCTCGTTCACCCCTGTGCTGCTCTCTCTCTCTTCTCTTCAGTATTATCACATTGCAGAAGAACTGTAGACGGCATGTGAATTACATACACTGCATTTGTTTTGTTCTCTATCCTCCCAGGCTTAGTAGAAGCTGCAGTCGTTGCAGCTCCCAAAGAAGGTGTGTTTGTATCCTGCATGGCCGGCCTTGTAATGGGGTGTCTTAAGAGCACAGATTGGGAATGAATTAATCCTCCTTGGCTTTTTTTGGGTTTCCGCTCTCTTTGATTCCTTTGCACTAACCAATCCTGGCTTGCCACTGCTTGAAATAACCTGCTTCTGAACTTTCCTAACGTGACCACCTGTTCTGTGGTGCTTCTAGCCCCTTTTGCTAACAAGGGGCTCCAGGAGGTTCTATAGAAAAGGGATAAACTTCTTTCATTTACCAAGAGGTGCTGCCTGGTGATTTATAGGCAGCGGCTTGATCACTTTCCTATGAGAGCCTTGGACTCTGTGAAGTCTAAGCCATTATCTGAAATTGTCTGATGACATAGACTGAAGTTGTATAGGGTACTGTCTGCCATGAAGTTTGGGAGATCCTTTGTGTTACCAGGAAAAAAGGCAGGCAACAGGCATGATTGGTGCTAGAGTGCTGTATTTCCTGGACAGAGGAAATGACTGGCAGTTGCCAATTTTCTAAAGGCCGGGTCAAGTACAGACAGAGTCAAGGTCCAGACAGTTAAACAGAACATTGACAGACAACAGCAGAGGTATCAGGCCAGTGATCAGGATAAGCACAATCAAACTTGGGCTGCATTTTAAATATTCCACTCTCCACTCTTTGCAAAAAAATAATAAATACACCCATAATGCAAACACGTGCATTTAATAAAACAAAATGTTGCAGGGGAATCTTGCAGCTGCAATCAGGGGGTCATGTGTGTAGTGCACAGGCTCCTGCAGACTACTCCGTCAGCCTCTCTGTACGGACCTTCGGCTATGGAGCTAGAGGGAGTTGTCAATGATTTAGAAGTGTGGCGACATCTATGCACTTGTAGTTTCTTCATAAGCAAAGACTATGAATGGATTTGTGAATGAAGATGTGACTGTGGGCAACACTCCAAATTCAGAAATACACAGAAGCCTGCAGGGAGAATAGCCCTGTGATTCTGGTAAATGGATAAGGTAGTGTGAGGTTGGGGACTGCGGAATGTTAACATGTTTCATGTTATACCCTTAAAAGAGAACTATGTGGTAAGTGTTTTTTCCCCATAGTTCTCTTAAGGGTTACAGGAGGACATATACTAGCGTCCTCCCGTGACCCAAAGCTCAGTATATCGCGAGCTACAGCTCACGGTATACTGAGACCCCTGCAGCCGGGACGGATCCTGACAATGCTGTTGAGATCCACCCAGCTGGCTATAAGGCAGAACCAGCTGTGCCCTATCCCGTCCGTTCCTCCAGTCAGCAGGGGGGGGGTCCCTGCGACGAGTGGTGACTGACAATCACTGTTCTCTGCAGGGAGATGATGGAGAAGTGAGCGAGTGACGCTATGCGTTTGCTCACTTCCCGATCTATTGAGCTGACGTGACAGTTTCATAGTCGCACATCGGCTCAAACTATGAGGTGGAGTGATTTTCACTCACCTCATAGTTCTCCTTTTAATATGGGTGTATCATGGAATATGGTATAAAAGTGTAATTGGACTTTAAAGTCCATTAATAAGGGTAGGTGTGCATTGCAGCCAGGAGTTCAAGACTGATCTTTTTCACTATCAGAGATTTGACTAGTATAGAGTAGGTATATGTGGCAGCATTTCCTCTAACATTCTGTGTGTTTCTGTACAGATGATTCAGATAAGGTCTAAGAGGTCACACAGCCCTTGCTCTCTTGTGAAAGTTAATATACTGAGCACTCTAAATGGATGACTAGGTTCCTTGGTGAGCAAAATGGAAAGCGTTTATCCCTTTCCCGGAGAATCTCTTACATTTCTGATCTCTTTTCATTAACATGCATCATATACCCTAAATAACCATCATCTTATCCACCATTCATGATCACATTTCACTCTCCATCATTCCTGATTCCAGAGTTCTATCCCAAGAACTGAAATTCTGATTCTTATTCACCAAACATTCAAAGATCACTCTCCCTTAAGATGATGGTATTAGGCAGGGCTCGCTGAGGCAGCGAGAAGAAAACTGCATTTAGTGTCTGGTGATTTTTTTCTTTTTCATTTTCACATTAATCAACTTTGTGACGGATCTCTTTCCCTTGTAACAGCACCCGGTGAAAGTTTGCAGTCCAAACCATGGAAAGTATTAGACTGTGTGCCTAACTGCACCCTGTGCACCGGGCTGTCACGTCCTGGCTTATAAACGTGCTGGAAAAAATATTGGATTCTGAGTACTGACATATTGGAATATACAGAAAGATTGGAAGAACATTTTCCAAATGCAAAAGTATGACGTAAAATGCATAATGATATAATAATGCATAATAAATACATATTAATTATACCAAAAGAAATCATTGTAGCACTTAAAAAAAACAAGCTTTGCAAATACTTTTACAGTGCATCGAGGCCTTTTTTGCATCGGAGCTGGCTTGTATTTGTTGCACCATGAGAGAGGTTTGACTACTGGCAGGACAAATATCTAGGAGTTCTTTGAGGAATGCATCTGGTTTTACGAAAGGAAGGTTGGCTGGACTCTGGACTTAGTCTTCTGTTCTTTTGCCAAGATGCACTGAGGCCTTCCGAGTTCACAAATAGCATTGTCAGAATGAGTGTTGAACGTTCCAGCAGATTGTCTGCTGCATGTTGCTGCTGCATGTTTCTACATTTAGATCATTGTATATGTTGTAAAGTTTCTGTTTTGCGTAGTGTATGCTTTTTTTGACCCCCTTAAGTGAAATTATGGGTGGGACCTCCAGTAGGTCACAGGCAGGTACAGGTTTTCCCCTATAGGACTTAATGGGATCCTGTCATTACTCTTCATTTCAAGTTACATGCTAAGAATGATTACGAGTGTCACCCTACTACAAGAGCAGGGAAAGTTACCAGCTGTGCCAGCTTATTTGGCAAACCCGACCCTGTAAATGCCTCTGTAGATAACAGGCCCTTTACAAAGTTAAGGCTTACAGGTGTACCCATACATGTATCCTATTTCTTCTTCAGCTGATGAAATCCATTTGACATTATCTGCCTACTTATTGTTGGGGTTGGTGGTTTCAAGGTTAGCAGTCCAGTTAGGTTTTGGACTCTTTTAGTCTTTTGCACAAGCTGTCCGCATGTGCTGGGCATTTCTCAGCCTACTCCCAATTTGATGTGCCAGGAACAGCTCTAGCCAGAATCTCACTGGGGCACTTCTAAGAGATGGCTACTTTGGTTATAGGAGCAAGGGTTCTATTCTAAGACTTGTGTGCTTATCATACATAAGTAAATTGAACTCAAAATAACAAAATAATAATTAATATTCTTACACCAGAACATGAAATATATAGCAGAAAGCTGGCCCTGTTCTTCAAGAGTAAAAAATTCAGTTAACAGACTCTGATGAGACACAGAGGGTAAACCACACAACATCTATTACATTATGCAGGACAATGTACTCACAAGGATGCTAGAAGTAAACTCGGATTTGTACGGCCTTTGGGGGGGGGGGGGTGGGGGGGAAATTCGATTTTCCGCTTGTATTTTTCGCCAGAGAACTCACTAATGGCTTATAGTATTCACTAGGGAATCACCGATAACGGTTTTTCGGTAACAAGTACCGCCTGGCTTCCAGATTGGTTAGCAACAAGTGAAGGAGGCTTCCTAGCCAATCAGGATGCTGGGAGGCAGGTCATAACCCTCCGCCCGGCTTCCTGATTTGGAAAGGAAGCCGACTCCATGCTCCCTCGGCACTTGGGATCAGAGGGAGATCTCACTCTGACCGCAAGTGCCAAGGGAGCATGGAGCCGACTTCCTTTCCAATCAGGAAGCCGGGTGTTTTCGGCACCAATACTAGTATCCTCAGTAGTAATACTTGGTATCGGCACCAATACTAGTATCCTCATAAAGTATTGTAGACCTACGTTATCCTTCATATAATTTGGACCATATGCAGTAGCTGCATTTTTAAATGCTACATTGTGTTTTGCTTTTCTTTATTGCTCCGGCACATTGTCTGTATAGGGAAAAAAGTCCATAAATTTGCACTAAGGGTTATTTTATGTTTTTAGTTTTTGTACAATATAGACAAATCCAAATTTTGTGTTTTTCATTTAAAGATACTGCAGCAAAACTGAATTGTGCAGCCATAGCTTCACAGTCTTGCTCCATTTGCTCCAGTTTATTTCTAAGATTTTCCTAAATTAGCCCAGTTAAGACCTAAATCAACTCCTTGTGTTTAAGAGCCTTACACGTTTAATTCCAATATGTCAGTGAGTCCACTATTCTTCTGAACACAGGCGTTTGATTTATCAAGGCACTCTAACTAGATGTGGCTTCCGCTGAATTGGGCCTGACGCATCTTCTGTGACTTCCTCCCGCAGAACTCTTAGAAGAGACTGAGAAGCTGTTGAAGGAGAGGATTGAGGTTCAGCGTCAAGCTGAGAAGGACTCTGGAGACCTTCACAAGCAAGTGAAAGTGTTGGAGGTGGAGCTTGAGGAACAGGTCAGCCGTAACATGGAGATGGAACAAGAAAAGAACACCATTCTGGAAGACCTGCGTCAGAAGAACCTTTCCCTGGAGAAACAGCTGGAGAAGACCCGCAGGTTCTTAGATGTAAGTGGAGGCACAAGCGAGATATCAGGCGGGCACTTTCTGGTAGGAGCCTTCACTAGCGATTTCCAGTTATCATAAACAAGGCACAAAAAAAAATAAAGGTCTATAGAAAAAGTAAATCAAGAAGTTAATAGGTCAGACTATTTTAAAGCAGAACTCCGACCAGTGTATTACACAGGTGAGCTTAGAAGTGGACTGCCACTAAGTTAAAGAGGATAACATTATTACAAATATAAAAGCAGCTTTTGCTTTAAAGGAGAACTATGAGGTGAGTGATTTTCACTCAACCTCATAGTTCGAGCCGACGTGTGACAATGAAACTGTGACACGTCGGCTCAATAGATCGGGAAGTGAGCGAACACATAACGTCGCTCGCTCACTTCCCGATCCTGTCCCTGCAGATAGCGGTGACTGTCACTCACGGCTCCCTGCAGGGATTACCTCCGCTCCGATCCTCCAGCACTGACTGGAAGAACGAAGGGGGGAGGGGGCGGGGGCGGGTACAGCTGGCTCTGCCTCTAGATAGGCAGAGCCAGCTGTCAATCACGCAGCTGTGTGGATCTCGACAGTAATGTCGGGATCCGTCCCGGCTGCGGCGGTCTCAGTATACCGTGAGCTGTAGCTCGCAGTATACTGAGCTTTGGGTCACGGGAGGACGCTAGTTTATGTACTCCCGTGACCCTAAGGAGAACTGTGGTGAAAAACACTGACCCCATAGTTCTCCTTTAATACTTGCCTTCAATCTGGAGCTGCCCCTGCAATAATACCTTTCCACCACTAGGTGCCTCCAGTTTTTTAGATTGAATGACAATCAGCATCATTGAACCCACTTGCTTTAAACCCAGGCTGTCCTCGACCTTCCCCTGGGGTTGTGGCTTTAAATATACTTTAAGAATGTTTTCCTATTGTTTGCAGTTCCATTTCAATGATTGCTATTAAAATAGCCAGCCAGCTTAAAGAATCTGACATGAAAACCTCTATAAACAAGAAATTAAACCAATGCATTTAAATGAGTCTGAGCCATTTATATTATGAGTTACAGAGACGGTTGTGTAACCTTTAGGGTTCTTATTATTATCAAATGCTAACTTTGCTTTGTGCTGTAACATGAGTGGTGCATAGCACTGACCAACCTGCTACTCATTATTCTACAGGAACAGGCAGTTGATCGGGAACACGAACGAGATGTGTTTCAACAGGAAATCCAACAGCTGGAGCAGCAGCTGAAAATGCCACAAAGACATCAACCTGTCAATGACCATCAGAGTAATGAGGTTAGATGGAGCAAAGTTATTCTTGTGTGACATACTGTGCAAAACTTTTAATTCTTTATTTTAGTTTTTGATAGAATGGGGAAGGTTTAGAAGCTCCCTCAACCTTTTACTGCTGTCCCCCCTTGGGGGATGTTCCCTTACTTTTTTTTGACCAAACAGGAAGTAAGAAAGAATCACTGTCAGAACACGAAATTATAGGAAATCTCCCCAGCAGGGTGCAGGTAGCAATAAGACATGCTAGATCTTTTTTTCAGGTTTTTATTGTTGTTTGAACCCACTATGGAGTCATTTCCCTTTATATTTTGTCCAAGTGATGGACTTCTGCATCAGATCGCAGGGCAGGCATTAGCAACCCCTGACAAATGTTCTTGGGTGGGAACACAATGCGTTTGCACTGGCATCCGCTATCATTGGATGTAATTCACATCTCACTAAATGCAAAACCTGGGCCACCTACTTCCCTGATGTCACTAGACGCACATGGCAGTTTACACGCTGTATGGAAAAGGAACTTGGTTTGGGTCTGATCTGATGTCTGTGGGTTATACATCGGGGTTGATCTGAGGTCTGAAGTTTATGCTTGGGGCTGATCTGAGGTCTTAGGTTTATGTGTTGGGGCTTATCTAAGGTCTGAGGGTTATGCATTGGGGCTGATCTGAGGGTTATGCATTGGGGCTGATCTGAGGGTTATGCATTGGGTCTGATCTGAGGGTTATGCATTGGGTCTGATCTGAGGGTTATGCATTGGGTCTGATCTGAGGGTTATGCATTGGGTCTGATCTGAGGTTTGTGTTGGGTCTGATCTGAGGTCTGAAGTGCATGCATTGGACTGGGAATGTTTTATGTGTGCACCACTGTATCAGTTTTTGCACTCGTAATGTGAACTGCTGCACCCTTTAAAACATAGTTAGGTTTCAGTTTATAATAAAAGAGCATACCAAATGATAGTAATAGAATAAGAAAAAAAAAGAAAAATAAACATTCAGGGATGCCAGTTAGAAATAAAAAGATGCTTCCCAGGACCGAGCCGTGGGGTGGGCAAAAGAGGTGGTTGCCTAAGGTGCTTTAGCAGAAGGTTGGGTGCAATAAAGGCAGGACCTCCAACCTGTGCTACTGAAGTAGTTCACAGCTCATGAAGGGTTGGAGACATAGCAATGCATCAGTTAGGTAAATATAGATACAACCGATGGATCTCACTCATTGTTTGTGCTATTTTTGACAGGTGGAAAAGCTGGAGAGTCACCTGAAAGAAAAGACCGACAAGTGCAGCGAACTGCTGTTGTGTAAGGAGCAGTTCCAGCGGGATGTTCAGGAGAGGAATGAGGAGATAGAGAAGCTCGAGTGCCGGATACGAGAGCTGGAGCAGGCTCTGCTCATCAGTGCTGACTCTCTGCAAAAGGTATTATTTGATATAGAAAGGCCTGCAATGCCAGCCACATAAATCCTGTGTGTGTAAATCCAGGGACCACAATATGCACACTATAATCTCATGGCTGTCAAACCTGTAAATGGCACGCAACTCTGTTTGTTTGTTTGTTTTTATGCCATTAGAGGTTTAAAAAAAGAAAAGAAAAAAAAGGTTCAGGCTGCAATATGCATCTTCAATTTTCACTTGTCCTCCACAGTACCTTTTATTTGCCTCAAGATGTCCTCAGGCTTCCAGATTAACTGACACCCAGCAAATGATGCCAGGGAAACACTGTGAGAGCAGGGTGTCATGGCCCTGCCCACTGAGCACAACAAAATACATTTAATCATATTTTAATGAATACAGAGCAGCATTCATTTGGGTCTCTTATACATGGAGGTTAGCTTTAAGTTCTAATGTTGCTCCAGTCGGGCCAAGTCTATGGCATTAGAACATTCTCATCCAGCTGAGGCTCTTCAGTTACATCACACCTTCTATAATCACAAGCTGAGCACAAGGCACGTCATAAGAACAGAAAAGGTATCTTATAGAGAAAATATCTTTTGGATTGCAGCTATACACCCAGGGCCGGATTTCCCATAAGGCCAACCGATGCCTGGCCTCAGGTCAGCAGGGAGTAGAGGGGCAGCAGGGGTGTAGAATTCCTATCTTCCGGCGCCCGAGACATGCTGTTCTGGGCGCCAGACGGGTAGTTGTTTTCTACATTTAGCCCTGCTTTGGGGAAGCATAGGTAAATGTACAGCGGGGAAGCCGCCACTTGTTTCGGACAAGTGATTTCAGCGATGTCGCCGAAATCACTTGTATGCAGCCTGCATACAGGGGGGCGCATTGAGGAACCTGGCATTGGGACAGCAGAGAAAGTAAATCCGGCCCTGTATACACCTGGAGAGAGAGGTTGGCGTGAAAGAATGTATCGATCCAAGAATCCTGCTTTAAATGTTCTGCCTGATGAATGCAACAGTCAGCCAAAATATATTTGTTTTGTTGTGGGGATGAGTTAATATAGTATCGGACTTTCACTACAAGACAACAGAAAATAATCACATCCAGCACTTATGTAGAAATCATTTCCTATGCATTTGCTGCCCTGTGTGGGGGAACTGAACAGAGGTTGTAACATTGATGTGGACCGCTATTGCAATGTATGCTTTGGCTTAGCTGCTGCACTAAATGTTGGGAACTCGTGGAACCACCTAGTTGTACAATCTCTTCTGTAACTTGAGGGCCCTGTATCTGAATAATAACATTATATACATTTCTTAGCATTTGCTCTTCATCTCCATGCACATTCTGCAGCTATGCACTGACCGTTGTCCTGAATGTGATTGTCTAGGTGGAGGACAGAAGACCTTCTTTTGCTGGGGCCAAAGGAGAAATGCCTCTTGAAGCTCAGCTCCAGGTGGAAAGAGAGGCCATAGACAGAAAAGAGAAGGAGGTGAGTTTTGTTAGTTTTTTTTATTTTGTGCAGACTGTGAAAAATGACAATATTACAAATGAATTGACATTTCCCATGACCCAGACTAAGGCTGGCCATACACTGCTCTATTTTTCTCATTCAACCCGCGAGCTGAACGAAAAAAATACAGTAGATTCCTCCATCAAAACTGCGAGTGTGTCGTTAGTGGAATCCCCGTTCTTTGCATTGCATCCTGACAGCGGCCCGCGGCTCCTGTCAGAATAGTGGGACAAGGCCGGCAGCTGATTGGCTGCCAGCTCTGGTTGTACGAAGATTTTCCGACCGGCTCAGCTGATCGAGGGATGCCGGCCAAAAGGGTGCCAGCAGCGGCACACACAGTGTGAATTTCAGCCAGTTCCTCAGGAACCATATATGGGCACTAGTGATGGGCTCGGGCGTGTTTGCAGCTCCACGTGCCGAGCCCGCCAGGAAGCTGACAGCGCCGCAGCGCCAATCACAGGAACCGAGACATTATCCCGGTCCGCAGCTGCAGAGATCGGGAAATGTCTCCGTGCCTGTGATTGGTGCTGTCAGCTTCCTGGTGGGCTCGGCACGTGGAGCTGCGAACACGCCCCAGCCCATCACTAATGGGCACCTCAAGCTATCAGATCAACAGTTCAGCAAAGTTGTTAAAGCCAATATCCAGGCTAAAACTAAACCCCCTTCCTCCCACCGCACTCGAATTGATCACTGGCAGTAAAAAAAAATCGAAATGCCCATTTTACTTACCAAAATCCAGTCACATGATACTCCAGTTTCCCTTTGCATTTGCTTCTCCAAATGTTTCTACATGAAGAGTGGTAGCACCCTAACATATTTTTTGCTCCCCAAAACGCTTGCTGGCTTTGTATCAGATTTTGTTGCGAAGTTGTCTTTGTGGATACGACGGTGTCTCACACCAACGAGGAAACTACTATTCCAGTGAAGGACACACCTGCTTTTAAGGATCTAACTGAAAGACAGTTTGAGGTCCTCTCCACCACTCAAATTTGTATGCAGGTTTCGCCTTGCACTCACTCCTAGCTGTGATTTTACTTTTTCAGACCATGACTGATTGGGCAAAGTCTCTTAAAGGGGAAAACCAATGTATATTTAAAAATTTATGAGAAGCAAGCAGGTTTTTTTTTGTATTTGAGAAGAGACATACTATGTCTCTTTTGCAATAAAAGATTCTTACCTTCTTCCTCCCAAACTGTACACTAAGCTGCGCATGCATAGGATTTTTGTACTCGCCCTAAAATCTTTTTCTTGAAGTCGCAGGTCCCATCCCTCCCTGTTTATTGTGATGCACTTGGTACTGCTTTGCTACAAAGCAGAGGCGTGCTGGCATTAGATTGTAAGCCCTCAGGGGGCAGGGCCCTCCTTACCATCTTGAATTGTATTGTCAATGTAATGTCTTCCTTACATTGTAAAGCACTGTGCAAACTGTTGGCCCTATATAAATCCTGTATTATAATAATTAAGAGATGTTATACCCTGGGCTGGTCTACAGTTTTTGTTTGCCACTGTCACATCCTTCTGTAGGCAGTTTGACCTATGTTCCTCAATGGACTCCAAGAAGAGGAGGCTGAGTGCAAACATTTTATTTTTGGTGTTACATACACTTAAATGACATTTTAGCATTCAATGAAGAAAAAAAAATCAGATCTTTCAGTCCAGTAAGGAAATATTACAAATAATTGGATGATTTTTCAGACTTTGCTGCTTGCTGACCATTGCTGGTATTCCATACTTTCTTGTGTGTCAAATACCTCTCTCCGCCTTTTGCACGCCATGGTTTCTGCCGTTGGCTTGTATGTCCCGTAGTAGGTAGAGGAGCAGATGTTCACACTCTTAGACGTGAGGAATGCTTGCAGTGCCCTGAGAGCAGCAAGCTGACAGAGTTGGAAGACATGGGCCGACGGAAAGATAAGTATACGTGCTCTTTTACCAGGTGGCCTTTGTTTACAAGTGGCCTTGTGGTGACAGGCTCACTTTCGAATATGTTTTATCTTTTTGCTTGGGCATTTGATGGGAACTTCACTGTCATTTTTAACTGAAATCATCCCCATGTAATTCTTTGCCGTTGGTTTCACTGCTTTGTATTTTCTCTTTTGTGTCTTGCAGGTCACCAACCTGGTGGAGCAATTAGAACAGTTCAGGGAAGAGCTGGAGAATAAAAATGAGGAGGTGCAGCAGCTACACATGCAGCTGGAGATCCAGAGGAAGGAGTCTGCCACCCGTCTCCAAGAACTGGAACAAGAAAATAAAGTTTTAAAAGTGAGCTCCACTCGCAGTCTTATCTAACACTCAGGCCTTTAAAGTATAACCCCAGCCCAAACTTAATTTGTTTAGTTTTTGATATTCAGTGTAAGGTTAAGAAGTTCTGTTGGTGTTTTCTCTATGTTCCTGTTAAGGAAGTTTAACCTTACTATTTGTCCCAGGAATTGAATTTTATTGTTGACCCTTGAACAGGCGTAGAGGGCATTTCTTCCTGTAGAGACACTTGTTAGAGGTGAGATTTCCACTCAGTTTCGGGAGATTTCCACTTCCTGTTGTGCCTTTGGGCCCATAAAGTACAGGAAATTTTCCCCAAATGTGTAAACAGCTATAAGAAACCTAACGGAGGTTCTAATCCATACCACTCTATCCAAAAGTAAAGAGAGGTCTTGGCTGGAGTTACAGTTTAGTAGGCCTGAGCTTTGTCTTTGTTTTATCCATCATTACCAAGCAAATGTTTGCTAATCTCTACATTGGAAAGCTATTCTGATAATAATCTTGTTTGCTGTCTTTTAAGGATGAACTTGAAATTGCACCGCCTGATGAGAGTTCATCAACCGCTGGGACTACTTTTAGACAAGGAAAAATGGATGATCTGTTAGTCTCTAAAGACCAGGAAATCTTGCTTCTTAATGAGCAGATTAGAAAACTGCAAGCACATCTTGAAGCTGCAACTGACAAGGTGATGTTACAGAACATTTATCAAGAACGTTGTCACCTGATAAGTCTTAACACTTGCAAAGGAAAAGTAAGCAGCTGGTTTTGCTACACCGGACCTTCTGCTAAAGTGCATGACCAAAAATATGTAGACACCCAGCTAAATGATTGAATTCAGATGTTTCCAGTGAAGGGTACTGTTATTGCTACACCATTCAAAGAAATTTTAGACCATTGTGTGGTTCTGACTTTGTGATAACAGTTTGAGGAAGGCACTTGTATGTTTCAGCATAACTGTGCCCCTGTGCACAAAGCCAACTCCATAAAGATTTAGCTTAACCAGTTTGGTGTAGAGGAATTCAACCTCAAGCCCACTGAATACCTTTCTGATGGATCCGAATGCGGATTGCAAGCCAGTCCTTCTCATCCGGCATCAGTACCTATCCTCATAGATGTTCTTTTGGCTGAATGGGTACAATGTCCCATACTACAAAATGTTGTGGAAAGCATACCAAAAACACTGGTGACTGTTATAGCCACAAATGAGGGAGGGGGGTGAAATAATTCCCTTGGGGACGAGTGGCAAAGGAGAGACACTAAGGGAATAAGAAAAGAAAAGGCAAGAGAAGAGAGTAGATAAAAGATACCTCAGTGGAGAGAAATGCAATGCTAAGGATGAACTGTAAGTGGAGAGAAGGGGCACCACAGAAGGAGAGTTTGATATTCAGAAACGAGCTAAGAAAGTAGAAGTGGAACACTGAGGAGTAAATTAGATGTGTCCATGGTACATGCCCCCTGCAGTTGTAAAGCTGAATATGTGCTAGCGTTCTCCACTGACACACACAGGAATACAGGATTCCGGAGTATAAACTAGGTTTTTCCCAACCAATCAGAAAGCCAAGCAGCAAGTCATTACACGGTGCCTGGCTTTCTGATTGGCCGGGAAGCTGGCTTCGTGCTACCTCGTCACCAGGTGACGAGAAAGCATGGAGTCAGCTTTCTGCCACCAGCCGGGTGGCAGGTAATGACTTGCTGTCCGCCTTCCTGATTGGCCAGCTTCCCAACCAATTAGGAAGCTGGGCGGTGAGTAATGTCTCCCCCCCCCCCTCTCCCCGGCTTCCTGATTGGCCAGGAAGCCAGCTCTATGCTCACTGATGACAAGTGAGCATAGGGCCAGCTTCCCAGCCGATTAGGAATCCGGGCAGCGTGTAACGGCTTCCTGATACTGATTCCTGATAGTGAAGTTCTGGTATCGGGAGCTTTCGGTATCAGCACCGATACCAATGCTAGTATCAGTATCGGTGCATCCATAGTAACACCAGACTCCTATATCTTATAGGGACTCCAAAGCTAAGATCCTTAAACTTGGGTTCCCAGGCCCACACACCTGCAAAAGCTGTTATGACGCGACACAGTTTTCATGTTGGATTGTGTATTTATTAAACAATGCAAGAAGGGATGTGTCAGCAGCCCAAGATGGGTTGGGACCTGTGGTTTCTTCTCTTAAAATTCAAGTCAGCAAACCCACTGAAAGAAGTGCTAGTAAGAAACAGTTTTTCACAGTAAAATAAAATGTTCAAATTGTCAGCTTAGACTTTTTTTTTACTTTTGTAAAATAGAAAAAATCTTTTTACACTAAAGACTGACAAAACATTTTTTTAACACTTTTCAGGTGATTGAGGAAAAGAATGAACAAATGAAACAATACAAGAGCCAAATAAAGTGCTTGAAAAGCGACCAGGAACGTCTTAAAAAGAACAGTGAGGAAGAGATTGAAAAACTAAATGAAGTCATCGAGAAACTTCAAGAAGAATTGTCTCACATAGAGCAGAAAGTAACTGTGAGCTTCACTGGCATGTCTGAGATCACTGAAGGCAGCACATACCAGCCTGCAGTTTTTCCACCACTGGCAGGATGTGCTGATGCCAATGTAGACAACATGGTGTTAGATCATAAGAAACTTGAAAGGGAGCAACAGGTTTCCACAACTTTTTCGCAAGTAGCTCCAAGTTCCATGCAGGACATGGAATCTAGTCTGCAACAACTCCGGGAAACCGTTCAAGAAAAAGATCTAAATCTGAAACAGTATTATGAACAGGTTATGACACTGAAAGAAGAGACCAAAGTATTGAGTGAGACTGTGGAGAGACTAAAACTAGAATTGACAGAGAAAGACCAGAATGTAAATGATACTGAAATTTCCAAGAACCTTCCCGGTCCTATAAGCCTAGAAACATCGGCACAACCTCCTGCAGGTAGCAAGGATGAGACTTTGAACAGTGAATTGGAAGCAACCAAAGCAGAGCTAAAACAGGTCAATGAAGAACTGGAAAAACTGAGAACATCTTCGGAAAACACCATAATTAATGAGTTAGCTGCCACCACATCAAAAGAGGAGATTGATATAAATTATAAAGCCAGTATTGAGAATCTGACTGAAGCTTTGAGAGAGAAAACTGCTCAGCACTTGGCCATTGAAGCTTTGCTAGTGTCAGTGCAAGAGACTTCAGAGAATACAATTTCTAATCTGCAGCACCAGTTGCACGATCTTCAGAAATCCATTCAAGAGAAGGAATCCCAGCTACAGGACCTAGGAAACGATGCTCAGTTCCTTGAAAACCAGGAGATACAGCGACTGAATGAGGTAATCAAAAGTTTGCAGCTGGATATGATAATGGTAGAAGAGAAGATTTCAGAAGAAATTAAGAATACAACAAAGGCTGGAGAGAATGAAACAACTCAAAATGAAATGTCTCTTGCAAATGCAACATCATTGCAGCGGACAATGGAATCCGATGATGAAAAGGCAGCGCTGTCAAAAGAAGTTGAGGATGCTAAGAAGGAGCTGATGCTTCTGAAAGAAGAGCTTAAGCATCTAAGAGAGTCTCAAAAACAGAGTGACATGACTGGGGAAGATGGTAGTAGACACTCAGACCATGGTGTCATTGATCTAGAAAGATCCGCACCTGAAAATAAAGTACAAGCAGAAGCAGGCATAGAAAAGACATCTGAAGTAAATGTGGAGTCACAGCTTCAAGAACTGAAGGAAGTTATAAAGCAGAAAGATTCAGAGTTGCTGCAGTATGTGAACCAAAAAGATGTGCTTGATGACCAAGCACAGAAAATAGAACAATTAAATGAAGAGATCAGAAAACTTAAGCAGGATTTGACAGAAGCAAGTTCTGATCTCATGAAAAATGTCACAACAGATTCAGTAATTTCTAAAGAGATGTTGGAAAACAAAGAAAGTGCTGAGCTGGATCGAGCAAAGGCAGAACTTGCAGAAAAAGAAATGGAACTTGCTGTTTTAGTGGAAGAAGTGACAAGACTGCAGATGGCCCAAAAACATGATGCAGTGACCGTTAAAAGTGCCTCCACACAGGCTGATGTTGCCAAAGCAGAACTGGCTGATCTAGAGCAAGCTTTGAAGGAAAAGGCAGCAGAACTCTTACAAAGTCAAAAGTTGAATGTATCTTTGCAAGAAACTACTCAGGCTACTATTCATAAGATGGAGATGCAGTTACAAGAACTTCAAAAACTTGTTGAGCAAAAGGATTTAGAATTACAGCAATATGTTCAGCTAAAAGACCTGTACAACCTGCAGATGAAAGATGTTGAGCAGCTCAATGAGGTTGTTAGAACACTTCAGCAGGAACTGGCACAAAGTGGTTCCAATGTCCACACTACAGAAGCAATTGTATGCCGTGATAAAGAATTGGAAAATGAAGAACTCGTGCAAGCAAAGGCAGAACTTGAGAAAACAAAAACGGATCTGGCTGTCTTGAAGGAAGAACTTTCAAAAGTTAATTTGGCTGAGAAACATAACAACACAAGTCATGGAAATCCATCTAGAGAAGGCGAAGCAGTACTTGAAGTGACTGAGCTAGAGCAAGCTCTTAGAGTAAAAACAGCCGAACTCATCGCAAGCCAAGCAGTGCTTGCATCTCTGGATGAGACCACGCAGGCTACCATTTACAGCTTGGAGTCAGAGTTACAAGAACTTCAGAAAGTCATACAGCTGAAGGATTTAGAATTGTTACAATATGGAAACCAAAAAGATCTCATAGACCAACAAACAAAGGACATTGAGAGGCTAAACAATTTAATTGGCATGAACAAGCAAAATTCAGAAGATGCTGAGCCTGATGTCAGGCAAGATGTAGAAAGGTTTAGTGAAGCATTACAGGAAAATGAAGTGTTGTTGCAAAATAATGCAAGTTTAGAAAGCAGTGAGTTGTTGCAAGCAAAGGCGGAGCTTGAGAGAACAAAAATGGAATTGGCTGCTATGACGGAGGAAATTACAAAAATTAGATTGTCTCGGAAACCTGAAGACATGCCGGATAGCAAAACACCTAGTGAGGGGGATGTTGGTGACACAGCACATAAACTCTACAATGTAGAGCATGCACTGAGCGAAAAAACAGCTGATCTCTTAGCAAGCAGAACATTGCTTACGTCTCTGGAGGAGAGCTCACAGGCCACCATACACAATATGGAGTCAGAGTTACAGGAGCTTAAGAAATCTGTACAACTGAAGGATTCAGAATTACTGCAGTATTTGAATCAGCAAAACATACTCAACCAGCAAACTAAAGAGATTGAGCATTTAAATGGTGTCATAGACTCTCTGCAAAAACAACTAGAAGAAGCACAGCAGAGGTCCTCTATAAGGAAACCTGAAAGTGATGTCCATGAAGGCAAATCCAAAAAGCTGGAGAAAGAATTGACAGAACAAATGAATGGTGGAGAGACGGCCTTTATTAAGACTTTAGATGTCAAAGCTGAGAACGAGTATGAGGAACCATTCAGACAAATGTATAGTACTCAGGAAGGGATACCCCCTCTAGACAGTGGTAAAAGAATGTCTGATGGAGATGTAACGGCTGTTATGGAGAACAAAGACCAGTGCGACTGGATGATTGAGGCTTTGAGAGACCAGAACACACAGCTCTTAGAAAACCAGTCTTTATTTACATCATTTCAGGAGACCATGCAAAGTACAGTAGACGGCTTGGAGACTCAACTGGAGGAACTTCAAAAGCTTGTAAAAGAGAAAGACATGGAGATACTGTTATATTTAGAAGAAATTGAGATACTCAAGGAGCAAGTTAGGGTCAAAACTATTGAGCATGATGAGGTATTATTGGACATGGAGGACTCACTCAGGGAAAAGGTGGCTGCAGCTCTTGTAAGCGAAGCCCAACTCAAAGCCATTCAATTCCACACCAAATGTATGCACACAGATGACAGATCTACTGCTCTGGTGGAAGAGGCCAAAATATTGCACACCTATGGTTCTCACTTCTCTCAGCAGGGGGTGTCTGAATCAAAGTCATCCGTCCTACACCTACGACTGCTAGAACTAGAGAAGCAGCTTTTTGATCTCCACGAACAGCTACAAGTAGAAAGACATCAGGTTATCCTAACTAACCAACTAGCTGCCGAAAAGGAAAAACAACTGGTTGAGCTGCAGCAACTCTTGAAGAGTACAAAGGAAAAACAGAGCATCACTTGGCCAGCAACTGAAACACAAGCCAGAGATGTTGCTCTCTTACAGGTAATTGGTTGCTGTATTGATCTTGATCTAATGGAAATGTCTTAGAAATCAATATTTCCTTTCTGTTTATCAGATTTCAAAACCCAACTATCAAACAAGTATTTGAAGCATAAGTGTAGGCAGATAAAAGAAATACCCCGATTACATTGTTTTAGTTTCATTCTTCTTTTAATTTAAAAGAACTATTAAAGTGGACGTTTACACTAAAAAATCTAATTCTACCAATGCATCCCTCTATGTATGATGATCAATAATAACATAGACATGTCCGGTGTAAAATGCTGTGATTATGAAATACTTACACTTGCAGAGACTTCACTTCCTGCTTTGAAAGGGAAAAATGACTTCAGTTTGCCAAAGCGTTGCATCCTGGGAAGGTTACATCAGCAGAGCATTGCTGGGAAATCTCATCTCAGTTAAAGGCATTTTCCTCCCCTGAGATGATGTGCATGGTCACATGTCTAGTCACATGTGCCAATTTTTAGAAAGTAAAAGGAGATCTAGTAATCTGCCCTTATTAAACATGGCCACTGTCAGAAGACTGGGGAAGAAAAGAGAAATCAGATATGCAAAGAATACAATGCCGGCAATTATCTAGAAGTATGTGTTTGTAGATTGGTAGATTGTCATTACTAGACATTTCTAAAGGTTTTTTTAAAAGATATAGGTAAAGTTCCTCCTTAAATGTATTTATATAGCCTAGCTGTTTTTTTTATTCCTCCTGCAGTTTAATATGCAAAAGGAATCAGACTTGGATAGTAAGGGGTAGTGCTGTAAGCCAATCAGACTTCACTGCACAGTACACAGGATGCTGGTTGCTCTCTTGGTGCTCCTTCACTATTCAGTGACAGGCAAGTGTTATCCTATACTGCTGTAATTGCAGTAAAAAAAAACTCAGCCAAGTTCTGCCCTGACCTGTCAGAAAAAATGCCTAGATTAGAAAATTTAATGAACAGAAACTTTTTTTGATGGAAGCTAGGTTTGTTGGCACCACCATTCACTTAGCAATTAATGTATTGTATCAATTAAGGTGTTTGATTGACTTCATTGTCATTCTTTACCGACCCCAATCATTCTTTATTGGCTATCAGTCATTTCTGCTATTATTTGTTTGCAGGGAAGCACAGAGCAGTCAAAAGAAAATACAATGACCAACCTGGAACATCAGCTTCAGAGGCTTTCTAAAGAGGCAATGGCTACCAAAGAAGAACTGTGCCATTACAGAGAGATGCTGGAGAAATTGAAAGAGGAACTGATGGTGGGGGAACACATCTATGCTTCACTTATTTATTTCCATAGCATGAAATTATTTTCTGCTGCCTACACTAAGCATTGGCATGTTAAACGTCAACTGCTTCCCAAACTAATATTAAAATTTTGGTTGGGCATGAGTTGGCTTGGGTGCACCCCTTCATACTTCTTGTGCTTCAGTATTGGTCGGTGATTGTGGCCATCAAAATGATAATCCATTTGGGGAGCTGTGGGAGGGAGTTCTTGACTTAGGAACTAAAGCTCATGTTGGCATTATTGGGCACTCCAGATTTGAGTGCTTTTGGTTGCTCATAATGATATGTTAGGGTGCCTCTGGTTGCCTACTTTATAATCCCGCTGTCTTTTCAGCAGCGTTAATCTAAGCAGAGGATCAACAGCGCCTTATTGCAGAAAATATCCTGCTTTTGTGCAAGTCTGTCTTCTTATAAATACCACCATCATGTATGTATGTTCACTTGGCAGTAATAGGATAGTTGAGATGCGGAGGAAAAGAGATGGGACTAATAATAAAACATTGGAGGTGGTATATGTGCTTTTACATCCTGAAGATGAGCAAGAAAGCTCCAATAGCTACATATTAACAATAAATACTTTTGTTTCTCCAGATAAAAGAATCCAGTTTAGTCCATCTGGAAGAAGACCTGAGAGAAGTTAAAAAATGTCTCTCCAATGCTGAGGAGAAGTTGGCATATTACATGAAGAGAGAAATTCAGGAAGAGGAGCTCCACAGCATGTCAGATATGGAATTGCCACATGTGCGGAGCCCAGACTGGACGACACTGGATAGGGCCACCTCCTCTTCACAAACTGACAAAATCTCAAGTGTTAACAACAGCAACCAGACCTCGCATGTTCCTAGGAAGCATGTTGGGGTGCAGAATGAGTTGGAGCCTGGGCACCTCAGCAGCTCTTCTGATGAGGTGGCAGAATTGATGGAACAGTACACGGACAAGATCGGCCAAATGCAGGAGCTCCACGCTGCCGAGATCCTGGACATGGAGGCCAGACACATTTCAGAAGCGGATTCTTTGAGGAGAGAACAGTACACCGTTGTTCAGGCCCTCACAGATGAGTGCGACACTCTGAAAGCCGTTATTGAAGCCCTGAAAACATCTGTAAGATTTCTATTCCTATTTTTTTTCCTACAATATGGTTATGTTACATGAAATACTCATAGGACCAAACGTTTGTGGACACCTGACCACCTGACTCATATGCACTTGTATGAGCCTGCTCTACATCCTGTTCAAAAACAGGGGTGTCAGTATGGAGTTTGCCCTCCAATTCTGCCCTAAGGTGTACAACCAATTTTACTGCCATTCTTTGTCAATGATAATTGCTTGATTTGTATGCCCCTGGGTGAGGCTGAGACACCTGGTCTTAATCATTTTGTGAAGTGGACACATACTTTTAGCCAAATACTGTATCTGTGTCCAAAGAGAAAGAATTGGCATGCAGGTAGAGGTCACCATAGACAGAAAATAAATGGACTTGATCAAACATCTGATTTTGCAGTGGTTCATGTTTAGGCAACGAAGAGAGGAAGGAGGAATCTTGTCTGAATATTACATGTTTCCTTCTGATAAGCTGCTGGCATTACTGGGGCAGCTTATCCGAAGGTACTCTAATATTCAGACAAGATTTTCCGACATGTCTATTCACTTCCTCCCTGATGAGCCTCTGCCAGCCTTGTCTACTGGTGCCCCATGGATGTTAAAGTGCATGTCAAGCTAAAAATGTTTTTTTTTTTTTTATCATTTTGGATTTTGTGGGGAAGGATTAGAACCCATGTTGGAGTTTTTACTGCTATCTAGGGCTACTTTAGTGAGATTTACCCTCACTTATTACCTGCTGACAATGGTTGCACCAGGCAGGAAGTAAGGGAAAACCTGCAACAAAAAGACACAAATGGAAATATAAATCTGACAGGCTTTCCTTCTTCGCCATTTTTGTTGGCATTGCTGTTGGCAATTTCCTGACTAGTAAAATTATGTCATTAGAACAGGAGGTAAGTAGAAACCTTTTTTACTAAGCCCTGGATAACTGTAAAAACACAACAGAGATTCTATCCCTTTCCTGCTTCATGCAGAGCTAAGTCTATGTGCACCTTAGGGATGTTAGTTTGGACAATGACGTGCAATCGATACCCCCACAGTCATACCCGACAATATTGTTCACATTGGCTGATATGCCTACACCCACAGCACTGTTTCACGGATCCTGACACTCACATAATGTTTCAGAAAGTTGAAAGAACAAGTAAAAATGTTGTCTACACCTTCCATGCAATGTTTGTGGGCACAATAATGGAAGCCTGTAACTTTCCAGCATCTAAAACGGAAGGTGCATCTTGTATGGAGCCTCTGATCTCTGGTACTGGTAGAATCGAAGAAAAATCCACCTTTTAAAATCCCACGTCTTTAAAGTTTAGCATTGGTTGCATAAAGTTTCAGATTTACCAACTCCTTCAGTTCATCATTGAACTCCACACAACTAAGCCATATATGTTTTCTTTTTGTGATTCAGGGAGGAGCAGGGGTGCCTGAATCTGCCCTGTCTACATCATATCACTTCACAGATGCTGCCTCCAGCGGTAAGTCCATCACATTCTTTGTATAAAGCAGGAAATTGTGTGTATTTGGAGGTTTTCTGTTATATATGACTATTATCTTATGGCCCAAGAACCATATTTACTTACAGTTCTTTGCTCTGCACTGTGTTCATGAGTTAGGTGGAAGTATAAGACTGTAGTCTTCTGCTTCCACCCCACTTATGGACACAGTGCAGAGCAAACACATAACCTATGAATTCAGTGTACTAGTGAACTTAGTTAGAATCATACCCTTGACCCCACTTAGCCACAATGGAGTGCACATGAAATTAGTGGCTTTTTGTTTCCTTGAATGAGACAGATTGCAAATAAAAACTTGATGGCAGTTGGTTTTCAATATACTTTATGTGAATTTGTGTTCACAGATATGTAAAGCAGACACAGGCAGGTACTTGCCAAAGCAGTCACATAGAATGCAGGATTCTCCAAGAGCTTCAAAACCCATTCTCTACTATGCAATGCAAATCTTAACCGGTTCCTGTGAACAGGGAATTATCTTCTCCCCTTACTGAGCAGCTCTGTTGGTCATTGAGACTTCCCATCATAGTTATGGACCAATAGTAAGGCATTGGTGCCCACCTTTCTAACCATTCCTTGTTACCAAGATCTTTAGATTTCCAGAAGTACCGATCCTACTAGCGTTTTTGTTCGGTATCGAGTAAAAGTGCCGATACTTTGCTTTCGGTACGCGTCGGTACCGATACCGGTGCTTCCGCTGGCATAGAGTTGGCTTCCGGGGGAAATCTAATTGCCCGAGAAGCTGGCTCCATGTTGTCTGGCCGGCTTCATCGTGCTTGTCCGGAAAACAGGCTTCCCAGCCAATCAGCATCGAGCCGGCTTGCCAGGCAATCAGGAAGCTGGGCGTTGAGTAGTGACCCACCTCCTGGATTCCTGATTGGCCGGGGAGCTGGCTCCAAGCTGATTGGCTGGAAATCCAGCTTCCCAGATAATCAGAGCTTCCCAACCCATCAGCATCAAGCCGTCTTCCTGGGCAATCAGGAAGCCGGGAGAGGCGTCATTACTTGCTGCCCAGCTTCCTGATCGCACAGGAAGCTGGCTTCCTCTGATCGGAGGTTCCGGTATCTGGGAAGGTATCGGAGCATTTTGGCGAGTACGAGTACTCGCCCAAATACTCGGTATCGTCACCAATACTAGTATCGCTGCATCCCTAGATCTTACCTTTCTTATACTGCAGTGTCCCAAACTGTTAATGTTTATCTTTATGACAATACATGTAAAAACTCCTTTTATATGTTTTATTTGTTAGATGTTGCCACAGAATGTGATTGGAGCCAAGGGACGTACAATGTACAGAGCTTTGACCAGTTAGCAGAAGGACTGAGGGGTGATGGGGATGAAATCCATACAGAGTTAATTCCCAGCAAAATCAAGGTACTCCTGATATAAAGGCTGCTACATTGTGTGTACTTATTACTGATTGGGGAAAAAAATACTTGTCATGCGTCCGATAGTTATACAGTCCTCTCTTGTTGCAGGACTTGTTACGAGCCGTCCATCAGGAGGGCATGCAGGTGCTGACACTGACAGAAGCCACCAGCCCTGAGAAGGAACAACCTTTCACTGTGAAGACTCATTCCTGGCACGAGGAGAAGAAAGCTATGCTTGAAACCATTTCGTCTCTGAAAGATCTAATTGCTAAGATGCAGATTCACAAGCACTCGGAGGTTGGTGTGCAGTATGTTGCAGGTGGACAGGCTGTGTCTTATTTCACATTTCATCCTCACTCTCTGACAAAGTATCAGCTTTTATTGATACTGCTTTTTATCCTAGGGTCATACAAGGCCAGGCTTCCATGACCTCAGTCCAGACTGGAGAGGAGAGCTGCTGTGTGCGATACAGGAAGTCTTCCAGAGGGAGCAAGATGTCCTCATGTCTGCTTTCCACACACAGCTGGCTTCATTGGGCAAATGTGATGCAAATGCACTACTTAACCAAATGCAGCACAGGCTTCAGGAGCAGGTGACTTATAGGGATGCATAAACAATTTTAATCTTTAACATTTATTAATTTAAATGATAAATATAAACCTGTTTTTAGAGATATATTAACATATTAATGTCCGATTGAAACTGCTAAGACATTCCAGGTGTACTAAAGCAAAAGATGTGCAAAGTCTTACAGTTTAGAAAGTAGAAAAGCCTGTCCCCTGCCAGCATGATGTAGAGAAGGACCTTTACTCCTTGGGGCGCAGTGGTCTTTTGGCAGATATCTGACACACCCCTACTAAAGCTGGGTACACACGGAGAGAATTTCTTCCTATTTAGCAGAAATCGCCCAAAATACGTTCCATGGGTAGCCCCATTCCTGCAACAGAAGTCAATCATTAGATCGACTTTTGCCGAAGGGACATGCTGGAAAATTGTCAGCCGAACATTGCTTGCAGCCACTCATGTATTGTGACAGCAACCGGTGTTCTGACTTCTCGTTACGCCATCTCTAGGTGGCTTAGACAGGCCATCATCCAAACTTATGGTTTGAAGTGATTGGGTTTCACCCCTTCCAGTCATTCAGCTTTTCGCCATCAAGCAACTGTTTCCCAGATTAGCACGGCTGCCACCTGATCTTCTGTTCCACATGAATGTTGTGGCCTTATCTGATGCCAGCTTCAAGTGTAAGGTCCTTCAGGTGGCTCAGGAGCTGCAGATAGTCCCCAGTTCTCTGTTGCCTTTTCTTGAGGCCAATTGTTGTGTTGGCCACCCCTTAATTGGACTGCTTTTGAAGGTCCTTAAGTTTTAGGACTTCTTGTGTCCCTAAATGGACAAGAAAGACATTTTTTTTGTTTGTACACACCATAAAATCCCTTTCTTGGAGCCCATTGAGGGACACAGGTCCCATTCCTCTGTGTTTATGCTCAGTGTTTATTGTTCCTGTACGTGGCAATATAATCTGAATGTTTAAAGGAGAACTATGAGGTGAGTGAAAATCACTCATCCTCATAGTTCGAGCCGATGTGTGACAATGAAACTGTCCCACGTCGGCTCAATAGATCGGGAAGTGAGAGAACAAATACTTTCACTCGCTCACGTCTCGATCCTGCCCCTGCAGAGAGCCGTGACTGTCACTCACGGCTCCCTGCAGGGATTCCCCCCTCCCCTGCCCGATCCTCCAGCGCTGACTGGCAGAACGGACGGGGAAGGGGGCGGGTACAGATAGGCAGAGCCAGCTGTCAATCACTCAGCTGGGTGGATCTCGACAGCAATGTCGGGATCCATCCCGGCTGCGGCAGTCTCAGTATACCGCGAGCTGTAGTTTGTGTCCTCCTGTGACCCTTAGGAGAACTATGACCCCCATAGTTCTCCTTTAAGACTTCCTATGTCCCTCAGTGGACTCCAAGAAAAAGATTTCACGCTGATTACAAAAATCTAATTTTTGTTTTTTAAATCCTGGAGTTGAGTTTTAAATTGTCAATGTTTACATTTGACTGATGTGTGTTTTAAAATCACATATTACCAGGCAGACCAGAATGCAATGAGATGCTGATTGCTGGTTGCTGCCTTGATGAACTGCTCTTCCCTTCATTTATTGTTTGTTGGTTGCACAGCTTTCATTGAGTTTTTTTAAGGCAATGACAATTGTGCTGGTTATTTTATTCTCTGCCTCCTCTTACAGGGGATGGAGCAAATCAATGCCATGGACTGTATACAAAGCGCAGACCGGCGGAGTTTGTTACTGGAGATTCAGGATCTTCGGGCCCAGCTGACCAGTCTGCACAACTATCCTGGCTTCCAGTCACTGTTTCCTCTAAACACGGAAGGTATATACTTTGCATGTGTTTCACTGTAAAATCTGAAAATAAGGATCTCCAGAAAGACGAAGGACCTTTTGGTCGGTGGCAGTGAATGTGTGGTTTTATGAGAGGGTCTTTGTTTGCCCGATATACAAACCCATGTACAGTACTGTTTTGGCCTCTGGTCTTCATGTAAAGCACCACAAGTGACTGGAACATAAAGTTCTGGACCTGAGATGTATGAAATTATGTTCAATAGAAGACATTTTTTTTTTTAGTTCATGGTAGCATGGCAGGCCTTTCTTTGAGTGCAAAAACACTATTTCAATTGGTTTTTAGACATCACATGCTAAACCAGACCCCTGACCTTTGTACAATTTCAGAATGAGTGTTTTTTTGCATACATTTCCCCGGATGCGCTGCATGGAGCCTCCCTATATACCATTTGTACTGATAAAAATGTGAAATACATAATTTTTTTGTATCCAGGTATAGCATGGCCAATGAAGTATAAGCCCTGCCTATAAGAGATTAGACCTCTCATGGGAGTATATCTTTAAAAATAGGACCCTCCCCACAATTTATTTTTCTCCACGGACATATTAACAGCACAATGGCTGCTCTTTGTGGATTGGCTTTGTTAGTAATGATTGTTTTTTTATTTCCAGCAGCTGGAGCACATTACATTCAGCAGGAGCAAGCCTCGCACTCCCAGGAACTCCACATGCAGATTATGAGCATGAAAGCAAAGGCCGGAGAGCTCCAGGAGCAGCTGGGGTCCGAGAGAGTCTTAGCAGCCGAAATAAAGAATGAACTTGCACTAACCAAGATGGAACTTGAATCAAATCTTAAGCTGCAGCACAAGCATTTTAAGGAGCTGGAGTCTCTCAGGTGATCTCTTGTTCCTCAAGTGTCACTCTCATTCGCTGTCTTGTTGTCAATGAATTTTAGTGAAACATTTTAGGAATGTAAAGATAAGGATATTAAACAATGCCTGGGCTTCACATACTTCACATACTCCACATCAATCCATAGCATGCATTTGCAGCTAAGTTAAAGTACTTGGGAAAGGAATTTAAACTTTGACAACCTCTCTGTGTCTATACTTCTGGTGGTGTCAGCGCTTAGACCAACAAAAGTTCATTTGAAGGGCTGGAAAGGTTGAAATGCTCACAATTATGGACCCATCGGTTGTCTTGCTTTGCCGTCTATGGTTTGTTAATAACGTATATGTTCCATGGGTTAAGCAGACCATATACTGCAAGATTTTGCCATTTACAAATGAGTGCACAGGTCTCTATATCTATACTTCTATATAGTAAGTGAATTTTACATATGTGCAAAAAAGAAATTCTATAGATCATCCAACAAACAAATGGATACGTGAAAAGACTGATTGTGTACCAGTATTTCAATAGTGCCAGTGCATAAAGTGCACGTAGTATAAAGTGCTCTAAATCTAGATTTCATAAAACAGTCTCATTTATCACCATTACATAAAATTGATGTGACTTTTAACATGTGCAAAAAAATGTGATCTTATATTGCAAAAAAAGTCCCAAATATCGTATAAGCCAGGTCCCGTTTGATCGGCTATCAACCTCCTCTATCACCCTTTCACGATTCACCAGATGAATGATACTCTAGTCTGGATTGTGAAGTTTTAAATGTGAATTTTTACTATTTATATAATACGTTTTTACAATTGGCTGCTAAAGCGTTTCTATATATTATTCTTGATCCGGGAATATGATTGGGGAGGCTAGAGTACCGTTCATCTGGTGAACCGTGAAAGGGTGATAGAGGAATTGGATATCCGATCGAACGGGACCTGGCTTAAACGATACAACTGAGCTTTGGTTGACTGTCTCTAACAGCCCAGTCATTCTGGCGAGTATGTTTCCTTAAGGATTTAGTTGAGCACGAGGAGAGGATCATCTGTTATAACACTGCGTTTTGGAGCAGTGTCTTGCCCTACTTTTGGGCCGGATTTGGGACTTTTTTTGCGATATAAGATCAAATTTTTTTGCACATGTTAAAAGTCACATCGATTTTATGTTATGATGATAAATTAATTGGACTGTTTTATGAATTTTAGATTTAGAGCACTTTATACTTTATGCACTATTTGTACACAATCTTTCTTTTCACGTATTCATTTGTTTGTTGGATGATCTATATAATTTCTTTTTTTGCACATATGTGAAATTCACTTACTCTATGGAAGTATAGATATATAGCACTGTGCACTCATTTGTATCTGTTTTGAAAGCATTCACGCTTTAAGTATAGCAGCTTTATATCCTTTACCTAATTAGGGAAATCCCGAGCACAGAATATTAATAGATTGTAAGATTTTGCCATTGTATTTCCAATTTGGACTAAACAGTTCAATAATTTAACAGTATGGACATCATTAAGTTCCCCACACACCTTGCGATAATCGTACGATAATCGCGGTAAATCCCGCGATCGTACGATTATCGTAAGGTGTGTGGAAGCCGTGCGACCTCTACTACTGTACGGTCGCACGACTTTAAACTTACGAACATGTTCGAAAACCCGCCGAGCATCGTACGATGTCCGGCGGGTGTGTAGCATGCTCGTAAGATAAAAGCCAGAAGGGCCGGTGTGCGCAAGCGCACACTGCCCGTTCGGCATTGCGGTCATCGGAAGCCCGCCCCTCAGGGGGCGTGGCTTGCGATCATCGCAAGTACGATCTGCCTATGCAAGATGGGCAGATCGTACGTTTTTTTTTAAGTACCATACAACCACCGCAAGACAAAAGTCTTGCGATGGTTGTAAGGTGTGTGCCCAGCCTAACTCGTTACAAATGTGACAAATGAGAAGTTTCAGTCTGTATACTTGGATCACCATCTGTAACTGATGACTTCTGGTAAAATAATTTGTTATCAATCATTCTGTGTAAAGAGCCTTCCCGACACACTGCATGCAGCTCATTGCAGCTTCTGGCACTGGTCTGACGTCAGCAATTTACCATACTCAGGGCTCAATTTGTGCCTTTGTGTTTCCTGAACCCCTCTGGAGTTTAGAGTGTTCTGAGGGAGAGATCCTGGAAATATGCTCTCTGTATGTAGTTTAATTATATGTCATTGTGGCGGCTCTACAATGCCTCGCGTTACACAACAGCATAAGAAATATCTGAACCAGTCTGTGACAACACATATTTAAAGTGCATCTAATACAAAGAACAAAAAGCTAATATATTGCAACTCGCCAGTCTTTGCATGTGGTGGCTGCATTTGTTTTATTATTGTCGGGCTAAGTACATGGTGCTTGAACTGAATTATCAAACAATGTTATCAGCTCTTTCCAGTTCTATTCTGTTAACACCTCTTCCTAATGTTCTGAAGATGAGGAGAGAGGATCTACATATGCTTGAATTATTTTGAGTTAATATTGTATGCTTTTAACAAATGGTTTCATCATAAGGTAATCTTCATTTTAGTTTAGTTGGCAAAGGCAGAGCGATTTAGTGATAGGGGCTCTGAATAGAACTCTCACATTGGTAGATCATGGCAATGAGTTTGTGATTTTTTTTTTAAACAGGATGGAACTAAAGAAAAAGAGAGAGGAACTGGATCGCCTAAACGAAGCACTGGAAAATGAGCAGAAAAAGTGCAGAGAGCTACATTATGCGTTGGAGAAAGAGCAGACTAAAGGGAAACTGAAGGAGCTCCAGGAAACAGAGCATCTGGAGGTGAGACCGGCAATACTGTGCCAATATTCCGTGGTGCATACAATGGCAGTGCACTGTGGTAATTCCTTGTTGTTTGAGCTAGTAGTACTTATCTAAGACAGCTTAAGCAATGCCAAAATACACTTTCCCATAGCAACTAGGCAGCTTTCATGTTTTATTTCCTAACCCGGTGGGTGCAAACCCTAAAGCCCAACTTTGGGCTACCAGGATATCAGCCTCCTCAGTAGTGGGCGGTCCTCGATGATGCAGGAAGTGGCTATCTCAGCGCCACTCTTGACATGTTAACACTGTAAGTGCAGGGCGCCATGGTGGTGCCCCCTCAGAAGGCGGGCCATGACACCCTGCACTTACAGGATGTGCTTAATCTTACAGGTTGATTGATGCTGGGCATCATTCAACCTAGCAGTCTAAAGTTGCCGGTTTAGTTTTTAAACCGACAAGGGTGCAAAAAAACATTTAATAAATAGCCCGGAGTTGGGCTTTAATCCAGAACCCTGAAAACGTGAAATAATTACTTTTGGGGCTCCCGTATTGCCATCTTTATTTTGTTCGGAACCCCGTCTTTTTGAGGTTTACATGACATCCAAGTTCAGACGAAGATTAGCAGCGGGCACATTTTTACTAATCAATTATTTTCTGTTTTGAAAAATTGGCAGCTGGCAAATCAAAAGTTACATTAGTACTACAAGATACTGGAATTCAGCAAAACATAATACAGCACAAATGTTAATATAAACCGAAAGACAATAGATGCCATCAATTTTAGAGGTGCAAATTGTGCACAAAAAAGAGATTTTCCTTTTTCTGACGCACTTGTTGCATCTCAATGGAACTTTCATTGCAAATCATTGTTTCTTTGTCACACTTGTAGACATGTTGTAATCTCCACCATGTTAATGTCACACCACTGATGGGGCCCAATGTGTCTTAAAGTGAATCACCGGTCTTATTTTTTCATGTCGTTAAATGTCAGGGCTCATTAGGACGATTTTCCAATCACTTCCTGTTCTGTAACAGCATTTACTGGTACTGAAATTATGGGCAAATCTTCCCTATAGGGAGAAAGATGGTAGTGCTGGGAAGGGTTAGAGCAATGATTCTCCTGTACTTGGACATTCATGGAGCTTCCGAATAGTAGGGAATCCATTCGTTCCCATTCCTGTGGTGTGAAGGAAGCTGAGAGATTGCGTTCCCATGCCCTCATGGAGTGTGTCGGTGGGAGAGTAGAGGAATCATTCAAGAGGGAGTATAGAGATGAAGTTGCATGTGTCACTCTCTGTTCGGAGGTGCATAACTTTTCAAATGGGGTTAAAGCGCGGGAGAAGAGTCCTTTTATGTGAGTGTGAGTTGAGGTAGTGTCGAATTTGAAAATAGGACCACAGTGGTATGGGAGAGGATGGGTTCTCCTTGTTTAAGTCCACGAGAGTGCGAAAATTACCCTGTCGGTGAAAGAATAACTGAGCCGTCAAGGGAGTGTCGGTGGACCAGCGGCGTAGGAAGGATGCACATTGACCCGGGGGGAAGGCTGGATTGAAGCGGAGGGGCGTGAGAGGACCTGGGGTGGAAGAGCAATGATTCTCAACCTTTGTGCAACCAGGGCCCAGTAAATTCTTTCAAAATCTTCCATGCACCAACAGTAAAAGTTGCTTAAAAAATGTAATATTAAACATGGAATGCTAAATATTTATTTAAAAAGGGAGTAATTAGACCAAAATATGAGTTACTATAATTTAATAGACGCAACGAATAGATCAATTTCTCTCGTCTCTATCTCTCCCCATTCACAACTTGGAGTAAAGGTTCACTTTAAACGCTCACATTTCTAGAAGCAACTGCCATGTTCATCCATGCTAACCACTACAAGTCACACTCCTCCAGATTCCCCCATCATGGTCCCATAACTAGCATGTGCCCAAGTGACCAATCAGATGAGAAATCTTATTCAGTCGGATTTGAGATGAGCCCTGCCAATAAGCTTATTTTTCCTCAGCAGTTTCATCCTTCAGATCAGCTAGAGTTTTGTGAACTCAAAGCAATAACTGAACTTCGAATGTACTAGCTTTAGAATCTAGTTATGTAGGTTCAGCACCCAACAGACCAGAAGCCTTGACTTCACAGGAGGGAGGCCATGGTTGAGAACCAATGGGTTAGATCATTGAGTTCCACCTACATGTAGCGGAGTTACATTATCAGAGTGATCGTAAAAAGTTATTTGGACTGCAAGTATTTTAGCAAAGTTAAAGGAAACCTGTCAGATAAAGATCAAAGGTCTCTGTAATAGAAGAGGTATTAAACTCCATGGCAGCCCGTGTCTCTTACCTACAATCCAGCTCTCCAGCCTCTGTAAGACTCTTTGGCATTTCCGGGAGTGTCAGGTGCCTGTTTCCCCCACCTCGTGCTGTGGTTCCATCCTCCATCCCTGCACCACTGCTGAGTGCTGTAGTGACAGGGGTAAGAGGATGGAACCACAGGACATAGCAGGGGACATATGCATTTGATACTTCTGAAAAGAGCTAAAAAGACTGCGGGAGACTGCAATGCTGGAACGGAAGGGAGGGTAGGAATCACGGGCTACAGGAGAGGTAATTATAACAGCTTCTCTTTTGCAGGAAAGTTTCTGCTCATTTTTTTTTTTATTACAGACTTTAATAGCATTGCATTACAATGTGACTGGGATAGCAATGGTGAATTTCAATATTTTCAAACATCATATTTCTTTTTTTAACAGGACCTTCAAATACTTCTAGAGGAGCAGAAATTGAAGAGTCTGGAGATCAGCAAACAACTAGAAGAAGAAAGGAAGTTGGTGAAAGACCTCCAGGAACAGATGGAGTCCGCAGAACGGGCGCACGATGCAGCGATGTCGCAGGAAAGGAGCCGAGTGTTAGAACTGCAGGTTTTCCTGGATGCGGAGAAGGCGCGTTCAGCCGAGCTGAGTAGCGCTCTGGAATGCAGACAAGACCTACAGACTCATGTACAAAATACAGAGACAGATGGACAGTCAGGAGGACAAAAACCAGCCGAAGAATTGCTGAAGGAACTGCAGAGTCAGCTGGATAGTAAACATAGTCGTATAGTTGAACTGGTGAGTGAGGTTGAGGGTTATAAGCTGGAATGCATTCAACTGAGGCAGAACCTGGAAGAAGAGAGGCAGAGTCTAAAGAAGGAGCTGGAAGCTGAGCAGGAGGTCTCTAGAGTGGCTGTAATGCAGGTGGAGGAACTGACAGATGTATTGGAAGATCTCCAGCGACAGTTGCAGGAGAGGGCGACTGAGCTCAGAAAACACCAGGCCGAGGAGAGACAACTGAGGGAAACCATCCAGAGGTTACAGAACAATGCACAAGCTAACAAGGAGAGCACATCTGAAACAAGGGAACCCAATCAAAGTTCTGTGAGTTTGTCTTCTTTATATGGGGAGTTATTTAAAGGGATGGGAATATATGCAGTAATAATCAGTCAATATATAGCTACTTTATATCCCTTTTAAAGAGAAACTGGACTCTGGATGCTGTGCCTTGTTCTGCAATTTGTCTCTATGTAGAGGTGGCCATCTTGGTAGAGGCAGGGCATTGCTTCCTCATGTCAGAGCCTCCAGCAATGAGTCTCTTAGGGTTGGTTCAAACAGCACATGTGTTTTCTAGCATTGGCGCCCTTTCCAATAAACAACACTCCTCAATAGATACAAATTTAGTGTAGGCTGCATTTTTTGCAGTGCAGGTGCATTGCGGTTCCATCGGCTATATGCTGAATTACCACTTGTTACGGTAACATATGTGCTGTACCGCAGTGGCCGTGTGTGAGCGGGCCCCTAAAGTGGGACACAAGTGTGTTTAGGTCTACAGGGAGTGGAGTGTTTGTGGAAACTTGAGTTGCTGGCTCCAGTTGCTATTCTCCTGGATGAGTTTTAGACAATAGTGTCTGTGAGTGTCCGATATAATGGATTCTGACAGATAAGCTTCTTGCTGTACTCCGCCCTCTACATGATTTTTACCTCTCTTAAAATATTTCCATTGTAACTCATTACAAGATCTTTTTTTTCCTTTCTAGACTGCAGTGAGAAGTTCCCCAGACCTGGGGAGGAATACGGTACAGTCTCAAGCAGAAAGTCTCCCGAATCTCCTGTGTCCTGATCCTTTGAGTGTGGTCAATGGCGATCCTGGAATAGAAGGGACTTCTTCCAGCATACACTACATTAAGCAAAAGTTACAGCAGGTGGCAGCTAAACTGAGGCAGCTGGCAGCCAAATCCAGCCAGAGGTGAGGAGATATTTTATCTTCATCAATTTTTTGTGTTTTATAAACTTTAGATTTTTATTAAAGAATCCAAAGTATACAATGCAAACAATACTGGTAACATCCGACATCTAACACAACATTTTCAAGCTCAGAGACAGGCCCGGTGCTATCGCAAGGCAAGGCAAGCGGCCGCCTGAGGGCGCTGCAGGGTGAGGACGGAAAAAACAGGGCATTTTGACAAGTACTTGTCAAAATCCCCCGATGCTTGCGCTATGTTTTTGGGGTTTTTTTCACTTACCTTCGGTGCGGGAGAGCAGCGGCGACTCAGTGCTGGTCCGGTTGGAGGAGCTCCAGGTGGAGTCCTCATTTAGCTGGCCAGCGACTGCCAGAGGATCCCGACACGCGCGGCACCTCTGGCAGTCGCCGGCCAGCTAAATTAGGACCCCATCTGGAGCTCCTCCCACCGGACCAGTGCTGACTCGCCGCTGCTCTCCCGCACCGAAGGTAAGTGAAAAAAAAACAAAACATGCTGATAGGGAGCAGGCCCGGCGCTACAGGGGGTCGGGGAGGGGGTTGGTTGGTTGGTGGGGCGCAAAAATTCAACTTTGCCTGTGTTGGCAAAAATCATAGCACCGGCCCTGCTCAGAGATACATTAGAAATTGGAAATCGATGGCTACAAATATAATCTTATGAGAGTCATAGAATCAAAATCGGGCACTTTATTCAAAGATTTATAGAACATCTAGTGAATAAAGGGGTGTTGCAGATGGAGTAAATAAGAAGAGTCTGTAGCGATAGTTAAAGGAAGGTAGAGGGAAGGGTGGAGGGGAGGGGGAGAATAAGGGACAGGGAAGGAGCAGTGGATTGATCAATTTGTTCTAAAAAGGGCACACTGGGTAACAGAGTAAAAGTCAAACTGCATTCGCAATTTCAGTATCGGATTTGGAAAAGGGAATTTATCTTCAGCTATTTATTAGGAGAATTCCAGTTTTTTTTAACTTGGCATTGGAAAGAGTGAGCAAGGATCAGTCCCTCTGTCAGACATTTACTGCTGTCTTTGTGCCCTTCGAGATTTCTGACCACTTCCTCTTTATTTAATGACAAAACAGAAAGTTTTGTGTCACCACTGGAGAAATTCTTCTTATTTCTTATCATGGTGACACAAGATAAAGCGAAAGGAAATCTCCCTAGTAGGGGCACAGAAAGCAGTAAAATTCCAATAAAGTTTGTAACCCTTTACCTCTCTATCAAAAAAAAAAAAGGCTTTATGGAGACCCTTTCATTTCAACAACAATTTTTTATAAGAAATATATTTGCAATTAACGTATATTATGTATATTAGGCATGTTATTTACCCGTAAAATCCTCCCTTGTGTGGGCATATAAAACCCTGGGACTGCTGATGGGTGCCGTTGACTTGTATGTGATGTCAGCAGCCCCAGCAAACTCAGAGTTGTCACTCTCTAGTATTTCTCTTCCCTCCTCCCCGGCAGCTGCATGAAAGGTTATGTAGGAATGTAAGGGGAGGGGTGAAGGAGCTGGGACAACACAGACAGTAGTTAGACACTCTCAGAGGAGTTGAAGGCTATGACATGCAATGCGGGAGGGGACTGTTCTAGGGATCTGCCTTATCCTGTAGTGGTCAAATTCCCTAGAAAGTTCAAAATCACAAGTTAGTTAAAAATAGTTTATGGAAAGGAAAATTGCTGCAAGCAAGCATTTAAAATGATTTTAACTGCAATTAAACTGGTGACAGGGTCTCGTTAAGGTGTATCGCTGGCTTACATTGGAACTAATGGCATGTGGTGTATGTGTGTTACAGGGTGCTGTTTGAGAGAGCCGACGATGAGGATCTGGCCTGGTCACAAAACAGCATTCGGGAAATTCTGTCTCAGCTGGATCATGTGGCTATTTTGTCACTACAAGGACAGGTAATGTGACACGTCTACCTTTCTATGAAGTCAGTCTCTGCTTTCTTGCATATTGTAATGATTTAGCTTGATTCAGCTTTTACATGGAGTTATTCCGCTTCTGGCCGAGCTTTTATATCAACCGTAAATAGCCATCTATGCAAAAATGTTGGCACCCAAAATGAATGTGCGCTTTTCCCATGCTAAGCAAAACGTTCACTCAACTGTAAGCCCCCCCACAACCCCCTTCCCCAGAGCTTGCTTTTCTTCCCTGCCGCTATATGTAGCCACCATGAGTAAAGAGAAGACGTCCGCAGCCTTGTGTAAACTCTAAAGTTGCTTCAAACCTACACAGGGCTTCATTTTGTCACTCCCAGGGTCAAATGGAGCAGTGGGGGAACGATCGCTTCTCGGCCTTTTGGCTAAGATCAAGTGTAGTATCTGTTCTTATCAGTTGTTGGAGGGGAGAGGATGTTGCCACCCGATGGGAGAACATTCTAGTACCCTCTGACGTAATGGTGGGTGTCGGAGGACGGTTCGGTCCACTGCTAGTTGCGTCAGGCCCTGATGTACGGGTAGACCCTAGACAGTGGGAGGACCCCCGACGGCACTACCTCCTGATGTGAGCGGAGAACCACGGGGTCTGGCCCGAGGGTTCGGGGGCGGCAGAAGCCCGTGGTGTTGTGCCCCCTGGGGGTGGCGTCCCAGGGGTGCTCAGGAAGTCACATGGGTGTGGGACCCCACATGACTCACTGGCACTTGGTCACACACCACCTTGCAATTTTCTGCACTTCGCCTCCAAGACAGGCCTTATGGCTAGTCTGGGGCAATATTTTTGCACTCCGGCCCCTAAGGCCTGTCAGAGTGGTGCACTGGCACTTTAGATTTATTTATGCACTAGATCCACGATTGGCACTTTTTTATTTTACTATTTGACCCACAGATGCTGATGGTGCAGGTTTCTTCGGGGCCTATTCCTGAAGCTGGGAGGAGATTCTGTGCCTCCTATGGGGTTCTCTGTCTCCTCCCACCCAGAAGGTGGGTTTCTCTTCGGGAGATCCCACTTGCCTAGTACTGAGGGGGACCTGTCTCGGCAGGTCCCCAAAGGAAATGGTCCACGGCCTTCGGGTTGGTGGGCCACCAGTCTCAACCCCTGTCAGGAGCCTTGCGCCCCGGGGGGTCGGGAAAGTAGGTCCCTTCTTTCGAAGGACCTTGCACCCTTGTGCACGTTTTTGTGTGCTGTGATTTCACTGTTCACTTTTTTTGTTCACAGGGGGAAGTTTTGATGCACGTCCACGGGCTTAAAAAAAGAAAAAGTGGGGGAACGATAGGAAGCAGAGTATTAGCAGTTGGGATGGCAGGCAGTTAAAACCTTTTGCTTTGCATTGCAATAGCATAGGTTCACTGCGAGGGCTTGTGTTAACAAATGCAAAGTGCTTTTAGAGGCATCACTGGTGCATTGGATCTGCAGTTGACCTCCTCACCTGCATCTGACCTCATTTTTAGCTGCTTTAAGATGCTTTTGCATTTCCATTGACTGGTATGAAAAGTAGTTCTGAATCTTAACAGAGGCCCCTAAAGCAGATCTGTAGCTATCCTAGTTTTTCTGTATACATATTGGTAATCAGTAAGCCGAGAGGCGCATCATTACTCGGCGCCCAGCTTCCTGATTGCACGGGGAGCTGGCTCCATGTTCCCCTATGGCACTGCTGGTCAGAGGAAATCTTCCTCTGACTGGTAGTTCAGGTATCGGAGCATTTGGGCGAGTACAAGTACTCGCCCAAATACTCGGTATCGGCACCGATACCAATACTAGTATCGGTGCATCCCTATAGAAATCCTTGAATTTTCTTTACTTGGGATCCCTTACTGTTTCCCTTATAGACAGAACAGCAGGAGACTGTGTGTGGCTGATGTGTCTTGTCCTACCTAAACGTTAGGAGAGTGCGACCACCAGCTCTGATCATGTGACAGATTTGCGCAATTGTTTTTTTGGAGTCTTTGGCATTATTCCAATGTGTATAGCCCAAATATGCCTTCAGTGTGAATGACACAACTACTCTCCATGAAGATCTGAGTGTGCCGCAGTGGCAGGCAGGAAAGGCTTATCTTCCCCCATCCATAACTCTCTTTTCCTGCAGGAGACCCAAGGTCTACTGGTAGATGTAGCATGGATCACAGTACTGTACCATGAAGTGCGGCTTCTCCTAGATACCTGCAGCAGGCCAGAGCTAATGTTCAGAAGCTTACACACATTGGGATGCAATATATGAGCAAGTATATAATCAAGTATTGGGTGCAATATTCACATATGGAGTATTAATGTAAAAAGGGAATCCTCTTTTCTCTATCATCAAATGGAGGGCACAGCTTGCTCCTTAGTTTATGAACACCATTAGTTTATAGTGCAAAAGGTGAATGCTTGGTGCTGGTAGAAAAGCAGCGTGGGGCAGCTTCATCTAGTGTGAAAACCCCACCACTGCCAGAGAGACTCACTGGCAAGCAGTTCAAGGACAACATAAAGACTTCAACATTGACAACAGGCCCTACCCACCAAGAGGGGTGGGAAGTGCACCCTCCAGTGAACCCAGAGAAAAGCATTTTCTTCCAAGGCTGTGCCACAGGGTCAGTAGCTGGTGGTAACCTGTAGTATCTGGTGAGTAAGTATTGCAAAGCTTTTCATTTTTACATTACGATAGTACCGTGGGGAATGTAATAACGGTTAGGTTGACATTAGGATCTACAATGGCTACAGTTTTCAGGAACATGTATCACTTCAGTTCATGTATTTCCTTTCTCTCTTCAGAATTTGGTGTTACCATCAGGAATATCAGCCAACACTCTGACAGAGAAGCTTCTTACCCAAAATGCCGAGCTGACAGGGTATGTCAGTAGGTTAACAGAGGAGAAGAAGGACCTGCAGAATTCCCTGTTAAGACTGGAAAGTGAAATATCTCGCTATAGAGCAAGTGGGCCGTCCAGAGACCATGTGAGTACCTGATAGGGAATGAACCGTGCAAAGGTAAACCCATTTCCTTGTTTTCATGTGTATGTTCTTTCTAATGATCATATGTTTTTATTGTAATATTGCTTTAGACATATGACGTTTCAGTACTTTAAGGCTGGATTTACATCTTATCATGCATGTTTTTATGCATTCTTGCATGCATTATCAGCAGTCATATCATTTAATGGGCTGCCATTGTCATGCACGCCCATTGGCCAATCTAGGGCTCTGCAATCAGCAGGGAGCAGTGAGCTTTGTCAGTAGGACACGGGATGTTTTACTGAGGCTACTTTCTTATAAAAATGCACTAGAAGACTTCAGCTAGGCTTTAAGTGATTAAACATTATCAGACTTTATGCCTTAAAACAGTCCCAAGTACAAAGGCTTCATCTGCAGATGTTTTACCAATAAAGACAGGCTGAACCTCTTAGAATAAATATTATGGGGGCAATGGACCCTCTGTGTCACCAGGAGGGCTCTCATTAACCTCCCTGGCGGTCTGATTATCTCAGGTTTTTTTTTTCTAGTTTGTTTTGTTTTTACTTTTAAATCTCCCGCCGGTTCCCGAGTGTGGCTCGGGGTTACCGCTTTTGGTACTGAAAATGAACCCCGAAACCACTCGGGATTACCGCCAGGAAGGTTAAGGCACAGCTCTGTTGTGTCAGGTCTTCCTTAGAACTGCTGAATGTGCGGCTATTTCTTTGCAGATAATGTCGAGAACAGCACTCAGGATTTCTGACAGCCAACTGGAAGTGAAGGCTTAGTACAAGTTATTAGGCAAAAGGAGAGTCAGACAAGCTGATGGTCAGGGTAGGCCAAAGAAAAACATGGTCTGGAAACAAGCTTTATGGTCAACTCAGGTGGTAGGCAGAAGCAGTATCCAAAAGAAGTCTGGGTTATAACCAAAAAGCAATCCAAGCATGCAAGACAGGTAGTAACAGACACATTTGCTGAAAACTCTGACCTTAGTTTGAACACTGCTGGTTGAGGCCAGGTGTGGAGTTGCAGCGTGACTATGCTGTAGCATTGGGAATGACCAGCAAATGGTAAAGATGAGCATTTACTTCGAGCTTACAGACCAGACGCTAACTCCGCAAGCCTGATTAAACTTTGATCTGGTGTGTGGCATCTGAGTGTGAAGGGAGATTTCATGTAAACGCACCATCTTAGCTGACCAGTTACAGGTGAAGGAATACAAGTGATTTTTTTTCTTTGGTGTTTGTCATGCCAATGACACTGTCTTGTTTTGCTTTCCCCAGTCTACTGTGGATAACTCTCTGAACACGGATGTGCTTTTAACAACGGAAAGAGAAGCATGGGGCAGAGAGAAACTCAACTTGCACAAGTCTCTGAAGCAGGCAGAGGCTGAGCTGTCCAAAGTGAGAGCAGAACTGAGGAATGAAATCATGCAGAGGGATTTCGGTCGGGAGTCTGACAACACATCCCTGAAAGTGAGCAACTATTATTGAACATGTGTGTTTGTCTGGATGTACACAGGCCTTGCCTGTATGTGGCCGGGCTCTCCGTGGATGTACGTTTGCTGTGCCTGGATGTGCATGGACTCTGCCTGGAGGTGTGTGTGCTGTGCTTAAATGTTCTTGGCCATCAGATCTGCGTAACGGCTTGTGCCAATGAGCTTTTGACCACTTCAGGCTGGTTTTACATTCCCATACAAGTCTTCGAGAATGCAAACTCCCCTTGAAGCAGGTCAAATGCAAGCAAGAAAGAGGTAAACTGTCAATGAATTCTGAATGATCTCAGAAGCATCTCAAACTGATAGTAACAAGCCCAAAGTCTATTGACACAGGCCCTAAAAGTCCACACAGGTTAAAAGTTATTTACAATCTCATTTAGAACTACCAGAAATATGCAGTATAAGCTTCAACTCAACATTTCATCCATTTTGTATCCAGCCAGGTAACATCTTGTACTACATGGTCGTAGATCTAAAGAAGACTGTACAGTCAGACTGCAGCATGTTTGGCCTTAAGTGATATTAAACCCTCAGATTTTTTTAACATAAAACAATGCTGTAATGTGTGCCTTACTGTAATCCATGGTAGTTTCCCTTCTCTTTGCTGCTCTTCCTTTTAAATCTGTATGTCTTCTCATGCTTGGGGAGAACTTCTGTTTTGCAGCAGACTGCCTTGTCTCTGGAATGGATACATGGTGTCTGTGTGCAGGTTCACAACCTGAGCCAGCACTACAGGAAGAGGCACTCAGCTGCAAAGGGAAGTTCTGCAGAGCATGAGAAGAGATACAGATTTAAAAGGAAGAGCAGAAAAGAGAAGGGAAACAACCATGGATTACAGTAAGGCTCTGTTCACACCTAGGCGTATCGATCAATATGCGCGTTTCGTGACGCACGTTTTTACCGCGTTTCCGAGGGATACTTGGCTGTATCCCAATGGAAACGCGCGACAAAAACGCCACAAAGAAGCTCATGTACCTTTTCAGGCGTAGGCCGTTTTGTAGCGCGTTCAGACGGGCTGAAATACGGCAACATGTGAACCATACCCATAGAAAACAATGGGATTTTCATGTTTGAGCATTTTGTAGAGCGTTGAACACGCTACAAAACGTACAGGTGTGAACCAGGCCTAAGGCACACATTACACTATTGTTTTATGTTAAAAAATCTGCCACTTTAAGGGTCTGATCAGCTTCTTTTCATCTGCTCCCTCCTTCCCTCCAGCAGCATATGCTCCTATTCCTTGAGTCTCCCATTGCTCTCTTCATGTGCAAAGACATTCATCAGTACTTGCAGATATGGAGGAGCATGTGACTCCCTCCATGTGACAGTGCTGGACCAGTCACCAAGCACCAGCGCTGTCACATTGAGCAACTTGTTGTTTACACAAAGCAATTTCTCCTTCTTCCCTTAGCTGAACAGTCTGGTGATTGATATGTAGATAGGAGCTCCTGGAGAGGGCTGGGGGATTAAAGTGAACCTGTCGCTTTGCCTGGAACGGACAAAGATCAAGTTCACTTTAAGGTGCCGACAGACAGAGAGAGACAGACGGAGTGTTTGCTTGATCTGTTGGATCACAAAACAATTGTATGTGTAAAGCCGACTTGGATTGTTCATGGCCAGTTGATGATGGTTTCCACAAGCTCGTTCTTTGCTGGGAAGTCTGCAGAGTACTTCTCACCCCGCCTTCTTTATGTAACGCCCTCGGCCATTATATAATAATAACTGGAATGGTTCTCATTACAAGTATCTTTCTGTCTTCTTCCAGAGAGTTTATGGGAAATACCTGCGGTCGGAGAGCTTCCGGAAAGCTCTGATCTACCAGAAGAAGTACCTGCTGCTCCTACTTGGAGGGTTCCAGGAGTGCGAGGAGGCCACGCTAGCCCTGATAGCCAGGATGGGTGGGCAACCAACCTACACCGATCTCGAAGTGATCACCAATCATTCTAGAGCCTTCACTCGTTTCCGCTCCGCTGTCAGGGTAACCATCGCCATTTCCAGGTACAGAAAACCAAATCAGCAGTGGTATTCCATGAGGTGTCTCTTGTGGGGAGTTTGCTTTGGACAGGAAGCTTTCAGTAAATTGGTAGTTTTCCCAATCAGGCCAAAGTAACCGGTTCATATTAAAAAGGTTCTCCAGGAAAACAATGAACCCTTTCCATTTATTATAGTATTCATTTAAAACTGAACTCTAGACAGATCTAAAATACACAAATGAATGCAGCTCTCTAATCATTAATACATATTGAAATGTATTCTTTAAATACAAGCAGTGTAGTATCTGGTATCAGCCTCTCGTAGTCCCTGTACAGCAGAGCTGGAGCGTGAGAGGAAGAAGCAGCAGATGGGGCCACTCAGTTCATGTGCTGATAGGAGAGAGAAGAGTGGCAGAGAGATGAGCCCATTAAGTGCTGATTCTCCTTTCACTGTCCAGTCACAGGCTTGGGTGGATTCAGGATGACCTGGCCTCAGTGGAAGTGGGATGAATAATAGTCATCTGGTGACGCAAAAAAATAAATATTGCAGGAAAGTCTCTGGAAAGACACTTTGCTGCATGGAAATCCCAAGCAACATTGTAATGCAAGCCAGGCTTCTCCTCTGCTGGACTACAGAACATCTCCCTGTCTCGTCATATCCATAAACTATGGAGAGCAGACAGCAGTACACATGGCTCGGGGTTCCCTGACTTTGCCTAAAGTAGTTCTACGGTATCCACAGTGCTATGGTGCAGCAGCTTGTGAAGCCTGCAGGTCCCTGTGTTTAACCTTCAGAACGATCCCTATAGAGCCCCTTTTGTTGGTAGCTCACCCTGTAAATGGGGCCTCGACTCTGCCGAAGTCAAGATTAAGCACCTCCTCCTGCCATGAATCCCCGCCCCTGCCATTAAACCTGCTCCTGTCTTTCAGCTTCCGATGCCAGAGCCTCTGCCGCTCATTGAAGCTCTGGCTTTTCACAGTTGAATTACAGGGTGGGGGCTTAGCTGTGGCAGAGGCAGAACTTTATTTCATTTCGGATAGATTGGAGACCCCATGTAGACTCCAGGGACACAGACATTGATTTGCAATGCCAACACTTCAGCACTATAGTAGAAAGATTTTAGGCCATTACATAACGTTAATGGAACTGTGACATTGAAGCCTTTTGTTAATCATATTGTTTTTTGTCAGGATGAAATTTCTGGTACGGCGGTGGAATCGAGCGACAATTTCCATGACGAGTGGCACAAACCGGAACAGCTGTGGGCAAGGTGCGGGTGAGATGAGAATGTTTGCATGTTGGGCTCTATGGACGGACAGATGGGAAATGTAATGCACTTGGGGCATGTGCACAGAGTGCTGTAGGTGCCTAGACTAGCTGTGCCCATTGTTATCAGCCACATCAGTGTCTCCTACATCTGCTTGAGCCTTGTGGCTGTGCAAACAGCAGGTCCATGTTTGTAGAGCCTTGGTTCTCAACTGGTGGGTCACGACCCCGTGTTCAGTGGGTCGCCGCATTCCTTCTACTTTTCTAGGTGAGAGACTCCTCAGCCTCCCCCTAGCGCAGCACCGTCAGTTTTTGCACAGAGCAGACAATTTAAAATATGCTGCCCGGCCCTGCGTGTCAGCTTGAGGTGGGATGGGCTGGGGGTATGGCCATAAGGGAGCTCCATCCATACGTGCATTGCTTACAGCTCCCACATGTGCCCTGTAGAGGACTGCACTGATGTCACATTCTGGCTCCCGGCACCTCTACGGGGTGAGCAAGGGAGCTGTACAAACAATGCACATATGGATGAAGCTCCGTCACAGCACAGCAGCCCACACTGGACACCAGGCTGAGCATCAATTCCAGTTCTCATATGGTAGGGAGACGGGGGGGGGGATCTTAAAAAATAAAATACAAAAAATTATAATTGTTTTGGGTGTGTGTCTGAGAGATTGTGTCTGTGGTTGTGTATGTATGTCAGTGTTTTTGAGGGTCCGTTCACACTTGTACAATGTGTTCATCGCACAGTCCCATGCGATTAATGCACTGTACCATGCAATTGCACCTACTGCACTTTCTGGTATGGAAGGTGCGTTGCCATTAATTTGAATGACACCCCAAACGCACCTCCCACCCACAGTCCGATCGCCTGCAACGTCGTGCATTCCATTGCAGTGCAGACATTGCAGACTTGGGTCACGACCTAATGACAAAGGACAAATGTGGGTCCTGAGGTTACATAGGTTGAGAACCACTGGTATAGACAGCCGATGCCATCCTTCTATTTGGTGAAACTGTAAAGCAGGAATGATCAAACCATACAAAAGAGAGAACACATATCCTAGCAGATATCATGAGAGGTTTATGAATGCTGACACTCTATTGTTTTTAGTTACCACTTATATGAGGTTAATGTATATGTAAACCTAAAGCCCACCTCCGGGCAAACAGAAAAGTGTCCCGACATAGACTTTCAATGTTACAAACATGAATGAAAACACACGCAGACAAGTAAATGGAGCCTTTGAAAGACTGTTGTACAAGTGTTTGCAGCATTGTGAACGAGCAATAACAAGGACTTGTGTTTCAGGTAACGAGGTGAGGACAGACTCAACCTATCACCCCGCCAGGAGCCTGGAGAGGATTTCATCCTGCCGCTCCCAATCCGGCTTTAATTCTCCGCAGTCCACTGTGAATTCACAGAACAGGTAATCCAGAAATTGTTCTTTAGTCTCTTATTAGTGCGGCCCAAGCTGAGCAGTACACGAGGGTTTTACCTGTGATCAGGGAAATTTCAACCACAGACTTCTCTAAACACCTGGCTAGCTCCAGGTATTCTCTGTCACCTCACAGCTTATGAAGGCAGCCAAGCCAATGATTCCACCCTCACTAAAGAGATGGGAGACCACGATGGAAGAAATAAGATATATGGAGGAACTGATCGCAAAGGATAAAGATAAAAAAGACTCACATGAGAGTATATGGTAGAAATAGGAATCATATAGAAAGTCAGAGGTATTCAGGAGTCTGAAAATGAAAGCTAGAGAGGAAAGGAAAAAATATAGAGATGAAGCCTCCACGGGGCTTATGGAACTATAATGGCCAACATACGACCAGCTAAACCACAGAGTGACTTAAAATAATGAACATTTGAACTTATTGTTTTAAAGTAGATTTTAATTCCATTCGACCTGTATGTATGGAAGAAATGGTGAAGAATGAAGGAGGAAGGGAAGTTCGAAGGTGATTAACCACTCTAGATCTGAGCGGGCGTCGTTAGACGTCCGCTCAGACACGCCCCCTCCCGCGCGCAAGCGGGAAACGGCCGAAATGTAAAAACAGGCAGCGGTGCCTGTTACCATACAAGCGGTACGATCAGATAGGTGGTTTTTATTAGCCTCGTATGTGATAGCAATAAAGTTTTTAGTAAAGAAAAAAAATGTAAGTCCACCCCCCCCAAAAAAAAATGTAAAGTAACACATGCAAAAGAATTAAAAAAAAAAAATTTTAAGTCCCCACCCATACATACACGCATGCAAACATGCGTTGGGGGCGCATACGTGCAAAAACGACGATTGCGCCCATTACGCCGCACATGTTACATATCGCCGCGAACGTCGCAGTGAGAGCAATAAGTCTAGGGCCATCAATCACTGATAACACTAAACTGATGAGCGGTAAAAGCTTTTAAAGTGTCGCCTATGGTCAATTTTGGGTATTGTAGTTTTCTGCGATTTCGCGGGTGCGCACAATTTTAAAGGTTGACATGTTTGGTGTCTATTTATCCGACGTGACCCGATATTTTATATTTTACCAAAAAACTGGGTAATAATAAATGTTTCCTAACATAATGTAAAAAAAAACTTTTTTTTTCAAAATTTTCCTTAATTTTCCCTAATTATAGTAAAAAATAAAACCCCCAGTGGTGAATAAATACCACCAAAAGAAAGCTCTATCTGTCCTCAAAAAATGGTATAAAATTCATTTCAGTACAGCGTTGTATGACGGAATAAACTTCAGTCAAAGTACTGCAGTGCTGAATACTGAAAAATGGCCTGGCCAGGAAGGGGGTCTAAACACCTGGTCTTGAAGTGGTTAAATACATCAATTTAGAAGTGTAAATTGGGTTAGGATGAATTGTCACTGGGTTTAGTAAATAGAATTTAAGGTGGGTATAGTAATGGAGAAATAAAGGGGCAACAACACCTATAGACGAACACATAGTTTAGAGCAGTGATTCTTAAAGTGTGGGTCACGACCCCATATGGGGTCCCACAAGTGAACAGGGGGGTCGCGATCTGAGTCCCCGGCCAGGACCGCCATCAGGGGGGTACAGCCGATACTTGTGTGAGGGGCCGGGGAGGCCTGGGCTCCAAGCAAGATTTTTTTTTCTTTTGGTTTAATGTGCAGTGTAGTGTAGTTTTTAAGGTCGCATACCCCCCACCACTGTGCACTTGGTACCTTCCTGAGCACGTGCATGCAGAAGGTTTTTTGTTTGTTTGTTTTTTTACATTGACGGAGCTTCCTTTAACCCAGCAGAAGTGGAGCACAGCTGCTGGAGGTAAAGATAAGGAGGGAGAGGGGGCTTAGTAGTAGGTGGTAATGACACACTGACTGTCTGTCCACGGCGGGAGGCGGGGGGGAGAGGAGGAGAGAGACACCGACTGACGCTATGCGAGGGAGGGGGAACACCGACGTTAAGGGAAAGAGGGGAGAGACACCGTCCGCTGCTGGGGTCCCCTAAAAATTTCCTCGGCCAAAAAGGGGTCACGAGTGGAGAAAGTTTAAGAAGGCCTGATGTAGATCACTCCCATTTATTCATAATTGAGGATATAGTTAACATACCATGTCCTCAATTATGTACAAACACTCACTGATCACTGAGTGTGTGTACCTTGCTTTTCTCTCTGACACGCTGTCACAGGAGGCTGATCGAGCGGTGTAGAGAGGAGAGCCCAGCCTCCTGTGACAGCGCTGTCTCCGCCCCCACACCGCTCTGCCGGACTGTGGAGAGACGCCGGCCGCTCACAGCGATCTCGTCCTGCAGCGCTCGGCCGGCTGTCACCTTCTTTTCTCCCCCGCTGGGCGCTTTTTTTTAAAAACTTCATTGTATTATCACATAGCGGGCTAAGAAGACCCCTCCCTATGTGATATCAAATTACAGTGACAGGTCCTCTTTTTGGAGACATTAGGGGTCTCTGAGACCCCTAATGTTACCTAGGGACCCCCAGAGAAGCTGATGAAGCCGACATCTGCTTCACCAGCTTCTCTCTGGCTGTCTGGAGTGACAGCTAAATGCGGACGTGATGTAATAAACATGACTTCCGCACTCGCATAGCGAGATCGTGTACTGACTCCCTCCGTTTTCCCTGCACGGATCCACAATGCCGGTACCGGATCAGATGCCCGGCATCGCACCCCCCACTTTGTATTGTGACACCATGAAGGAGGGGAACCCCCAACTTTGTATTGTGACAGGATGGAGGAGGGGAACCCCCAATTTATATTGTGACAGCATGGAGGAGGGGAACCCCCCACTTTATAACACAGTTGGGTGAGGAGTACAATATTAGAATAGGTTTAAGAGGGTAATATGGTTTCAGCACAGGTGGGGTCATTACACTTTGTATCACACTGGTTTTGTAAGAGTATCTCAGGGGGGCATCCTAGAAATAGGGAACATATTTTAGGAATAGAAAAGCTGGGGGGGGGGTTAGGGAATAATGGGGAATAGTATATTAAAATGGAATTCACACACAGGTGAGTGTACACAGAGGATGATAAATATTCACGAAGATAAGTTGCACATGGGGGAGGAATCAGTAAGGGGTTCTACGGACTCACTTATTGCCTAGACGTCACTTTCTTCCTTAATAGAGGAGTGGATTCAGAATGAATCAGTAAAAATGGAAATACGAGGTTGTGTAAAATAAAATGAATAACTATGTCTATGATGAAGTAAAGTAATGCTGAAGTTTTTGCTAAACATGTAGAGATCCATAGTAAAGTTCTTTTAGGGAAAGTTTTGAGACCAGTTTATACCCAGAAGTTTGTATATGTGTTATATATCTATGTATATTGAAATACAAATATATCAACTCAAAAAAATGAAGGCAGCCCCATGTGAACATTTTCCTGCAGAAAATCCCATTCAATGGTTTTAACCAACTTTTTGCAGATTTAGGTTATAGCCAGGGATGCACACATACCGATACTAGTATTGATAACGAATATTTGGGAGAGTGCTCGTACTCGCCCAAATGCTCCAATGCCTAGGGCTGACCTTATGCTGACACCCCACATAAGTTCACTTATGAAACAGGCCACTTACATTTATTTGACGAGATCTATGGCCCCTGGCTGGTGTCCACTTCCGCTATTTCAGACCTGTACTAGAATAGCTATATTCCTTTACATATATACATCTTGTATCTTACTATTTGACCGCTACGTGTGCACTGTATGTATAGCTGATGAAACTACAAACACATACAATGTAAACACTGTGCACAGTAATGAGAGACACAAAGGTTTGTTTCATTTCATGTAATAGGATTATTATTGGATTGTATACTCTTTATACAGCATCACAATACTGAGCCCATTCTCCACCCTTCCAGGTACATCTCTGCTTCTGATGCGAGTCCCTGCCTTCATCTCCAGCACTACGATCCTGACAGAGCACTGACGGATTACATCGCTCGGCTTGAGGCCTTGCAGAAAAGATTGGGCAGTGTGCCTTCAGGTAACGTGAAAACAGACATTTTACATGTGAAAGGATTCTCTGTATGTGCTGCGCTCTCTACACCCAAAACCGGATAAGTTCCCCCAATTTAAAGATTATCTAAACCCAAGAACAAAACTGTAATATATTGCAGCTCAGCAGTCTTTACATGCGCTGACTGCATTCGTTTTCCCATTTTTCTTGTTTATTGAGGGACACAGGAAGTCTAAAACCTTTATTCTGACTCCGATCGTTGTGATAGCGAAATATATCCCTTGCTGAGACCTCTATGCCTGGCCTGTATAAGCAGATATACTCACTGCGGACAATCCTCGTCAGATAGCTGAACTCGTCAATACCGATTCATTCAAAAGAGGTGTTTATTCTTTAACATCAGGTTACAGCAGATGATAGGAACAGCAGATGAACAGTTATGGTATTGTGCGGTCAGAAAATGATGCCTTTCCTACGTACTGTGCAGATCACATGTGTGTCCTTGTTACATGTGGCTCTTAACTGTGGCCATGACACAGGAAGTACTGCACACAGGAAGAAGGAAGGGGCGTACACTAGGGGAAAATACGTCGTCACATGAGGAATAATTACAGAAAGACATGTATATTACAACAAAAGGCCACTAGATGGCAGCATAGGATAACACATGAATTTAGCTATGAGAAAATAGTTAGGCAAATCACACTATATAAATTCTAACCTATATAACAATGCTAATATTAACTGAGGCTATGCATCTCATATTCTATGCCCCTATTGGGGCGGCACAACCTTCATGTTATACTGCTGCCCACAGGAGAACTGGATAAAAAAAAACCTGCAGCCCAGCCCAGGGTGTAACACTTCCCACTACCAGCATGCCTCAGTTTTCTGGGGGTTTAATGGAGGGACGTCTTTTCTTCCGCTTCTGTGTTTTTCTAGCAAATTTTAGTTTTTGTTCCTTTACTCAAGATTCTTCTCTACATCAGCAGCTATCTAGCACAGTCCTCCTCCTCAGCCTGCCTTGTGCACCGCACTGCTGAGCTGAACGTTGCAGGACTAGCCTGGAAGTGACCTTCAGGGACTTTCCAGGTCCAGAACCGCAGGCATTGCCTCTGCACTCGTCTGTCTTTGAAGTATCACTTGTAGAGGTGCACCGAAATATACAAAAATGTCAGGCCGAAACAGAAACCGAAAATGTTTTTTATTTTAACTTTTTCAACAACAAAAAATATTTTATTTTTATTTATTTTTTATAAACTTTTTAATTTTTTAAATATTTTTATAAAAAAATTTTATTTTTTACTTTGCTTTTAGGGGCTTTGGGGAAATATTGGGGGTCTAAACAGATCTCTGATATTTCCCTTTTAAAATAGAAAAAGAGATTGAGGACACAAAGTCCTCAGAGACACACAGAGTTTCCTCTGATCTGTGATAGGAGGCTGAGCGGTGTGGAAGGAGAGACGCCGGCCGCTCACAGCACTCTCCTCCCGCGGCGCTCGGCAGCCTGTGACGGTTTCTCTCCTCCCCGCTGGGACACAGAGCAGCGCCCAGCGGGGAGGAGAGAAAGAATGGACGCACCGCTGTATGGGCCAGAAAATGGCACTTTCAGCCGATATGTTTGCTTTTGATTGGGAATGTTTCACCGTTAGAGAACATTGGAGCGCGTTGTATCATTTTGTTGCCTTCTCTGTGATGAGTTGCAGGTCTGGGGTTCTGAGGATCCAGGTTTTTCCATGATCTTTGTCTGTTGTTGAACTCGGTGTATGTCTTGTTCTTTACAATATGTTTTTTGCCTCTCTTCCAGGGTCTAGTGCAAACACAACACACTACAGCATAAGAAGATAATACTCTCGCAATAACTGGATTGCCTTCTGTAATATTGTGCTGCTTCCGTTACCCCGTATTGTGTTTTTTTGTGTGGGACCAACATCCGCCCCGACAACAATCTGACGTGAAGACGCAACATCAAGCGGCCGAGATTTTCTGTATATCTGCTTTTTTTTTTTTTTATTATAAATCAGCCGTCAATGACATGTACATTATGTGGATTTCTAATTTAATTGATTAACTTATACGTATTTATCAAGAGGGTGAGAGGAACTGTATGTATCATGGACGGGGAGGTCCCGCCAGGGGGGCCGAAGCGACTGTCTCGTCCTCCAGCTTGCTGCGGCGTTGCAGACTGGACATATCATATGTAGAGACCTATTTTTGTAATGGTAGAAGTTTTGAATTTTATGGGTATTTTGTCAAAGTACTGAAATAAATTTCATCATTTTAACAATTTCACCAATGAAGACTTATGATTACACGCAGGAGACATCTTATCCCCCAAAACTCTGAATGTGTGGAAGACGAAATTCCACAATGAAATGGCAAACACACAAATGTAGCTCATCAGCAGAAGATTAAATTGGAATTTGCATTATTTTTCTCCTGTTTCCTGAGCCCTGCGTCTGTCAGGAAAGCCGTCTGCAATATTTCTTCTCACGTTTGTGAAATATGTGTTTTTATTTGGCGTTGTTTTCTCTGCAGCCGGGTGCACATGTAAGACCTGGTCAGAGCATGTTTTATACTGGAGCAACGCCACTCCTGACCACTAGAGGGAGATCATACAAAGCGACCTGCCTGCTGTTACATCTGCCTCATTCAGGTGCTGCTTTTTCTCTATGGTGTCCATTAGCTCCCCTTCAATGGATTTTAAGGTACTCGTGTCATATAGCTGATGTGCTGCTCCCATTTGGCTTATTGGGGGCCCCTAATTATGAAGCACTCTGATATGCAAATCTCAAGTTGTTTTTCTGGGGAACTTGTGAGTTAGCCTTTCCCCCTTTTCTCGTAAGTAAATCCCTATCGATCTTTTACATTAGGAGCAGGCTCAAATGGGCAGGCCAGCTACTTCCAAACTGATTAGCATATCAATCAGAGTGCCCCGTGGCTCAGTGATTGCTCTTTATTATATTTGTTATAGTTTGGGATAGAACGCCGGCAGGTTTTGTTTTTTTATATTTGGATTGGGCCGATAGTGCACCTTAACACACAAAAGTGACAGCTGCACCATTTTCGGTACGGCAGCACACCTGAAGGCACAAAATAACCAGTTATATGTGCTGTAACGCAGGTGCATTGGCAGCTTAGCCCTCGTTCACACCTGAACGTTTTGTAGCACGTTCTACGCTCGACGAACGCTCTACAAAACGCTCAAACATCTAAATCCCATTGTATTCAATGGGTCTGGTTCCCTCCTTGGCGTATTTCCGCCCGTCCCTAACGCGCTACAAAACGGCCAACGCCTGGAAAGGTAAATGTACTACTTTGGGCCGTTTTTGTTGCGTGTTTCCATTGGGATACAGCCAAGTAGCCCTCGGAAATCGCGAATCGCGGTAAAAACACGCGACAGTCGCGCATATGCAATACGCCTAGGTGTGAACCAGGCCTTATGGTACTGCGTGTTGCGGCGCCATATTAGGCGTAGGCGTGAAGTAAACCTTTCCTAAAATCTGGGAACTGACAATACCGATCTTCTGAGAATGCTCGTTGAACCCCCCCGCCATCCAGCACGCTCCGGTCCAGTGAAATGGATCTCTGATCTGTTTGGTTGGTTTTTTTTTTGGACCTGGATGTAAAAGGACACCCGTCCGTTTAGATCCGGCTGCCCATACGCTAACATCGGGCTTCCGATCAGGTCTGCCTGAAAAACGGACAGTTGGACCCGATTGGAAAGCCGGTGTGGCCCCAGCTCTATGTAGTGTGGAATACCGGGCTGTATCACATCAGGCTGGACCTGCACTGTAAACCAGCGGTTCTGGATGCAGTTTGTCATAAAGGCATCACAAAAATGATTTGCATGGCTCCGCCCACCAGCCAGACAGGCAGAAGTTTTATTTTTTGGGTGTTTATTTATTTTTTGATCCTATTCCCAGTAATACCTCTGCTGCCCTCAGTTTGGTACACAAATCATGAACACGATGGTAATTAAACATTATTTAATGCAACTTATTTACAGCTTTTCTAAACATACAAAATAAAAAAATGCAGATTTTTTACATAAATAATTCACATTAAATTTATAAAATACACAGAGCATGTACAGGCGCCAATGAATCCCCCCCATCCCCACCCCATCCCCACCCCAGGACTGGTCACATGGTGTTCACAGGTTCCTCCTCTTGTATCTGATGATCGGGTTGTTGGGTGTATGGATCATTGTCGTGTAGTTGATCGAAGGGAAATAACCGTCCACCAGATCAAACTCGAACAGTCGGAGCATTGTAGACCAAATCGTTTTAATCTGAGCGTAAGCGAAATTCTCCCCGATACACCGATGACGTCCTAACAGGAAGCCATTGAAAGACAAAAGTTGGATGTGGCTGCGATAGCGTTGTCCCCGCCCCCACTCCTGGCATTGGCTGGCAGTGCTTTCAATCATGGAGGCTCATTAATACCTAGCAGGGTCTGAATGCAAATACAACCTCCCGAGGAACGCCAATAGAATGACACCTGACCATCAAGGTGTGTGCAGAACTCCCGGGGTGCTGTGAACAAAGCCTAGATCAGGGGGAGGCAAACTCTGGCCCTCCAACTACAAATCCCATATCATGTCTCCCGTCACTGACAGTTTTCTATAACTGAATATTATGTGTGGACATTCTGTGATATAGTGGGTATCCTGTGTGGCCCCCGACATCAAATAAAGTGACCACCAGTGCCCCAGAGCAGGGGTAGGCCAGCTTCGGTCCTCCAGCTGTGGTCCAACTACAAATCCCATGAGGCATTGCAAACCACAGTCATGACTGCCAGGGGCAGATGCATGATGGGATTTAGTTTTAACGCAGCTGGAGGGCCGGAGTTTAAAGTGGCACCTTCTAGGGCAAAGAAATGAACACACCGTCCTGTGTAACTAATGATAGGGAGGGGGGGGGGGGGCACAGATGTGTTTTTGGCTACATTATCTCCTTCTGTGATCCTGCGTTCCGCTGCACAGGCTTCAGAGTCATCCCGAAAAATCCATTTACACATTACCTGCTCCGAATGGAACATAGGCAAACTTCTCCCCGGCGGCAGGATTCTCGCGCAGGTATCGGTCCGGGCAGAATTCTGTGTTTTGCACCCAGGTGTCCTTCAGCCGGTGGTTGACGGTGGGAGATACGCAGACCTGGTGTCCTGGGGGGATGTTATACCCGGCCACAGACTGAAACCAAAGCCACAATGTTACCCAAAATAACACAGAGGAAGAACTGTCACTCACACACACACACACACACACACCAATCCTCCCGATCACTGACCTGCGGGGTCCGGGCCATTCTCATCATGGTCATTATCGGAGGTCTCAGTCTCAGGGTTTCCTTGATGCAGTGGTCCAGGACCTGCAAGTCTTTCAGCTGGAAATAGACAGAAATGACGTTTGAGGCTTTCCGCCAACAATCATTTGTTTCCTAATCACTTCATTCAACCCCCGGGGGGTCTGGAGCAGACAAAAACTAGAGCAGCTGTGCATGGCAACCAATCAGCTTCTCTCTTCAGTTTGTTCAGCTAAGATTTGAAAATGAGAGAGAGAAGCTGATTGGTTAAAAAGGGGCAACTGCTCCAGATTTGATAAATTCCCCTCGGTATACATTTCAGCTGCTTCCCTGGAGTTCTTATTTAGAAGCCAAAGGGGAGAAATTCCAATTTGATTATTCTTCCCTGTCTAAGAGCTTCCCCTCATCATGTCATAGCTGGTAAAGATGAGGCAGCCAGCGACAAGACAGCTCCTGCAACAGCCAATGGCGTCTGTGCCCTCCACTGCCATTTACTCACTTTCCTGCCGCCACGTCCACCCCCTGGGGTCCTCCGAGTTCCCAATACTGTCCGGGTCAGAACTTAAGGTAAAAGACATTCCTTTCTTGTAAAAGCACTCAGCCTTCGGGTTCCCTGCTTAGGCGCATTGTGCACGGGTTACATGCTTCCCCCCCCCATTAATAACAGGGATTCACTGGGTGGCAGGAGAATGTAGCTACAGCAAGTATCGGCAACAGAAAGGGGGGCGGCTACAATACCAGGACAAATACAGGTTTGCCGCATAGCAGGTCATGCCCGGTGCCGGGTATAGGAATTCAGTTCATTCACCTATCTGCACCTCTCCTCCTCAGCCCCCCAGAATGTTGTTACTCGCTTGTATTCGGAGGCCAGCTCTGCCATTAGCGGCCATAGAAAGGTTTTGCTTTAGTTGGAGGTTTCTCTTCCAGCAGAAAATCCCCCGAGAATGATTTCGATGCCGTCCATGTAATAACTGTGACAGATGGAAGCTCCTCACCTGCTCGTATTTCAGGGGTGGGAAGTCGTCTCCACACACGGCCTTCTGCTCTGCGAAGCATTGATCCTGGACAGACTTGTGCTTGGCGAGGAAGAAGCCCATCCAGGCGCTGGTGGTGGAAGACGTGTGCTGTCCCGCCAGGAGGAGACCAATCAGCATCCCAGCTATCTCATCATCATTCAACGGAGTGCCATCCCTGCCACACACACACAACGCAACACGTAAACTACATGCAATATTACAGGAAACCTCTGCTGAGAGGCATGTGGGCTGCCACTGCTGACCTGTCCATCCTCATCCACTGGCTTCAATACTTCCAAAGTCACTGCATAAGTATGCCAATCAGGAGTTCTCATGTCACTGGTCGCTGGTCGCTTCCTTGTTCTGAATCAGTCACCAAGTACTGAAGTCAGCGGATCAGTATGACAGCCAGACAACAGAGGTCAGCAATGGCTGCCGGTGCAATTCTCCAAACACGAGTCTGCTTTGTAGACACAAAATGAATGCAGGAGGGAGGCAGGAACCCGAACCCGGGGACAGAATCCATAGAAAAGGGATGACGGCATGAAATGTGGCCACACCCCCCAATTCATGTTCATTTTGTCAAAACCCCACATTTGTATTTTGTCATTTGGCTCTGTAGCTTCTCTACCCCGGGCATCAAGGAGAGCCCATATATTTGACAAAATAGTTTGCGCTGGAAGTAGGTATGTCGGCACCAGCCGCAACAATGTATGTATAGATGTAAAATGGAAGGCTTGTATGTTGCGCTCGGTTCAAAATCTATTTGGTTTGTCCGTGATATATCATCAAAACAATAGTTTATATAAATCGATGTGGTGAAAGGTGATAATACAATTAAAATGAACACAATCTATATCAAAAAAACTAATGTGTATATACTAAATGTGGATGTGTGATCACAAATGCTAATAAATAAAGTATGTGAAAAAACTGAGTGATGGCTTTTAAGCGGAAGTGACTTGAAAAGTATCAAAAAGTGCTAAATAGCCGTGTCTAGTACAAACTGTGAACCCAAAGGCGCACAGTGAAATTGGTGCAAAAAAATGGATTGTGGACTGCCGTCTAAGTGAAATCTACCTATGAATTATTGTGCCAGACAATAAAACAGTGAGATGGTGATCTAGAGCGGAACTACAAGTTGTCCATCATATTTGAAAGATGTAATCATATACAAGCAATCTGCGGTAGTGGAGCGGAGCCACTCAAGGTGAAAGATGAATAAATCCTTAACTCAAAAGGAAAAAAATATGTTTTTCGACAAAAAACGATAAAACGATAAACGATAATGGGAAACAATAAATCGATGTCAGTGGAGCGGAGCCACTCAAACCATAACCGTTCTAAACGGGAGGCATAAAAAGAAAAAAAAATGTATATGGATTACAAACAGAGTCTCATCTATAGCCTACTTCTCTGTTATTGGAAATGTTAGTTGGATTCAGGAAAGCAAAAATAGTAACAGTGGACAAGGAGAGCCTAACCAGGGTCAGACACCAAGTGCCTCCGATGCCCCTGTACAGAGTAACTGGATGAAAGCGCAGACGTTGTACCGCTCCATGCCAATGAGGGAGATCTCCAGATGTTTCAGGGGCGCAGCACACTCCATCTGAGATATACAACGGCTGG